CAAGGAGTTTGGACTTTGTCCTGAGGACAGTGAGGGAACCTTTGAGGAAATTTATGGAGAACAAGGCTCTTAGCTGGTTCCCTTCCCTTAGCAATGTGAAGACTGCAATGAACTGAGAGAAAATAGAAACATAGCAGAATTAATCCATGGCTGGTGTTTCCCTCAGTTCCTGAACTCATATTCTGGACATCATTTCTTTCTCGTCTCCTCAAAACTGTACAGCCCAGTGGTTAGTGATACAGATTCCTGGAGCTACCTGCTTAGATCCACACCTTGGCTTTTCATCTTCTGTCTATCTAACCATAGTCATGTGCTTAGGTTCTGGTGCCTCCATTTCTTCAGTGAAGATGACATCACTGTGTACCACTTAGGGTTTGTTATAATGATTAAGTGAGTCACTACCTATTAGGGCGCAGCAAGTGCCTGGCTTAAGTAAACACCTTGGGGTTAGAGCAACCTTATTCCTATTAAGGCCAGCAGGTAGCCTCCTGACTGCAAACCTCAGGGTCCAGCTGGGTGGCTGTGGCAGGCCCTCTGCCCTCTCCCTGCACCAGCCCCACCTGCCTTTCCCAGAGGGCTGTGCCTGCCTCCTCCAGTTCTCACAGAGACATGGCCAGCCTGGGCTCCAGGGAGCTGAGAAGGGTCACTGCAGGGACGGGAGGAAAAAAAGGGTTTTCAGCTCTAGAAGCAGATTCTTATCCAAATCTGTCTTGGGAATTAGGCTGGACTTGCATGAAAACAAGCTTCCCAGCCCTGCCCAGGCCCAAAGGGGTTGGTCTGGAATCCCAGAGCTGGTTGACATGGCCCTTTCACTCTGACATCCAGAAGCAGAGGTGAGAGGCCTAGCGCTAGAGGATAACTGTGGGAAGCAATTCCAATGAGAGAGATAAGACAATGAGAGTACAGAGGTGATCTGATGACTCAGGGTTTATGTCATCCATGCCACCAACCCTCCTCCATTTTCTCTTCCCACCCTGCCAGTGGTTCATCTCTGCTCCTCTCCTCTAACTAGGAGTTCAGTCTCCTTTGTTGTCTCACTCATCAAGTCCTGATAAGATAAACTCACTCACTCTGAGGTGCCAATAACTAAGAATAGCTGGAGATGAATTTCAAATGGTGAGATTCCAGGAACCAACAAGCTAAAGACCTCAACAACAGCACTTGTAGGTCACAAGAGGAAGCAGAACATTGTTTTTCAATTGTGGGGAGAACTGATTTACCAGCAGTTCAGAATTTGAGACCTATCAGTGAAGCTACATAGCACAAAGTAGAGAAGAAGTTCTGGTCTCTGGGGCTAAAAAGTCTGGGTTTTGAGTGCCAGCTGCAGTACTTCCTCGTTGTATGATCTAGGGAAAGTCACTTAACTTCTTTGTATCTCCATTTTCCCCCTTAATAAAAAGGAGTTGATTATAATAATAGAAAACAACCTGCAGAGTTGCTGAAAAGGGATGGATGGGCTTCAATTAGAATAACACTTGGCATTCAGCTATGGCCATCTAAGTGCTGGCTGTTATCACTAGGATCCTTGGAAGGCCACGGACCAATCCCAATTATGGGAGAAAATTTTTGCACATCATATATCCAGAAAAGGGGCTAAGATCTAAGATGTACAAACAAGTCATACAATTCAGCAAAAAAGAAAACAAAGAACCCAATCAAAGAATTGATTTAGAAGAGCTAAGTACACATTTCTCCAAAGACATATCGATGGCCAAAAAGCACATGAAAAAAAATGTTCAATATTACTTATCATCAGGAAAATGCAAATCAAAACCTCAGGGAGGTATAAACTCATGTTAGTGAGAATGGCCCATATCAAGAAAACAGGAAACAACAAATGATGGTGAGGATGTGGACAAGAAAGCAACCCTTGTGTACTGCAGTTGGTAAGCAGACGGGTTCAGCACAGTATGGAGGTTCCTCAAAAGAGTAAATATAGAGCTACCATATGATCCAGCAATTCTGCTCCTAGGTATCTACCCAAAGAAATCACAAATTCAGGCCCTCCCTGGTGGCGCAGCGGGTTAAAGCACAGCACTAAGAAGCTTAAGCCACTTCCGCATGAGTTCGATCCCCTACACATCCCCACATGGGCTCCATTTTCTGTCACCCTTCTGCGGAGCCGACACTGAAGCCCAGCTTAGTGCATGTCCTGTGCTCCAGTTCCCTGTCCCAAGCCGGCCCCTGGCCAATTGATCACACCCTCATGTCAGACCCAGCTCCCAGCCGTGCACTGCTTCTCACTCCTGAAGCAGGGCCAGAGCCTTCTGGTTCTTAGTTGACAGCCTATCTGTCATCAGCTGCCCAGATCCATAAATCCATACTTACTCCTCTAAACTGGAGAAATTGCTTTATTCAAGAAGTCAGAGTGAGGGTTGTGGCAGCAATCTTAGGAGCACAGGGAGTGAGAGGGGAGGGATGAGGAGAAACCAAGAGTTGGGTCCTATTAGAGTCCAATGGGGTAGTCTCCAGGGCTGGGAGAGACCAAATTTACAGCAGCAGAGGAAAGGAATGAGTCTGCGTCCCAAGGATGCCTTTCGGAGTGGCTGGCTGCTTCCTCTTCTCTGCTGTCCTGCCAGTGTTTTTTATCCAGCCCAAGCTCAGGGCCCAAGGGAGCCTGAAACCTCATTGTGGGTTTCAGGGTGTTGCAGGCTGGCATCTCTCAGGGCTGACCCCAGTCTTTATGAGAGTGGACTCAGCTCATTGGCTTCTTGAGATGAATTTGGTTTCTCCTTGTGGGCTTCAGAAGAAGGTCCTGTAGGGAAGAGGAGACAGAACAAGTGAGTGCAGATTTTGCGGGTGCATCCTCACCCCAAGGCAGGGAGCAGCTCACGGTAGGGAGTACACCCCTGCCCCTGGAGCACAAGGCCCTGCCAAGCCTCTGGAGAGGCTGTGTGTGTGCAGGCCCCAAGCAGCGACACATCATAGCCACGGCACACAGAAGGCCAGGGAGAAAGCAGGAGGGACACCTGGCATGAGGAGGGAAGCGCCAGAAAGCAGAGGGCGGGGGCCCTCAAAAAGAGCAGATGGCAAGTGACAGAAAACACAGGGCCACCGAGATCATCCCAGAAGCCGTAGCATAGTGGGTTAACTGCCTTGGGAACACGAGGCCCTAATGTTTTGAGAAACTTGTAACAGCAATGTCAACAAGATCAGGCTTGGGTCTGTCCCACCCGCCGACAGCTGGGGCTTTAGGCCATGCCAAGCACCAGTTCCACGGCGACCCGCCAGCTCCATCCATGGACACACTCCTATCATGGGGGGATGCACCTCCCAAAGCTTGGCTCTGCAGTGTCCCACAGATGAAGTCCCAAGCCAAAAAGAAGGCACAAGAGACAGTTTGGCCTAAGCAGGGCTCAGGCCACAACGAGTCACAACAGGACATGAACAACTGGAATAGGCCAACCTGGTTCTTTGGACCAGCTTTTAAAAGCTCTTAATGTTCTGCCCAAACACAGGGGCCAGCAGAGCAGGGGTGCCCAGAGGGTGGCATTCCCAGGAAAGAGAGGCACATTTCTCTGGGGACACCTCTGTTTGGGGGTAGAGGGAGATTCAGGCTGAGCTTTCTCTGGGCTCTCCCAGGGGAGTCATGCCTGTTTGGAGGCACTGTGTGTGGCCAGCAGAGGACGGTGCTCACTGCTCCATTCTGCTCCTTCGGGTGCCGTGTGGCAGGTTCCAAGAGCTGTGGTCAGGTCCTGGCCCGATCCTGCTGTGCACTGGGCTCAGCCCACAGTGACCAACAGCAGGCCCAAGTGTTACTTCTGGGAATGGCGCCTCATACACCCCTGTAGACAGTCCAAAGAACCTGCTGACAGCTTGGTCAGCAGACGGCCACTGCACGCAGCATGGACAGACGGGGCCCTGCAGCCCGCCTGCCTATTCACCATGGAGGGCTGCCAGGCTCCAGCTGCAGGAGGAACCCGTGTCTATGCACAGGAGCACGGTCTTCAAGGAGCTTTCGGACCGGCTGGGGGCTTTCGGCTGCAGAGGAGGGAAGAGAAGAGCTACATACGTAGAGTGGAGCAGGAAACACAAAACAGGGCTCAGTTATTCCCAGGCAGGGCCATTGGGTCTCTCCCCTTACGTGGCTCCTGCCTAGGCCCTGGGCTCCAGAATTAGCTACTATAAGACTTTGGTTGTTCAAGACATGCCGAGAACTCAGCCTCTGCTGGGCAAGGGGAGCAAAGCAGGCCTAGTCACGATCTGGGTAAGGCGGGGGTACTGAGGTGATGGGGTGAGGAAAAGATGGAGGCCAGCAGCCAGAGGCCGAGAGGAGTGAGAAGCTGAATGCAGCCAGAGAAGTCGGGACTCACAATCAGGGATACAGAGAAGCAACAAAGGAAAGGGGGAGTGAGATGAAGGGAAGAAAGGTGAAGAAGAGAGGAAGACAGGTACGAAAGAGGGAGAGAGTGATAGGTAGGATGGGGAAGAAAAGGAGAGAGAATGATATATGGAGAACCACACAGATACAGAGACTGGTATACACAGACACACAGAGAGACACACATAGGAAATCAGACAAAGATGAAGACTGAGCCAGGCTCCCTGGAGACCCTGCAGGTTGGGGTCTGGGGTGGTGGTCCTGGCTGTTTGGGGATGCAGTTACATCTCAGACTGCAATTCTCAGTCATCTCAGATAGCACTCCAGAGTGTAAACGACACAGAAGTCATCAAACTAGTTGGTGGTGAGGGACATGCATTCTCAGTGGGGAATCAGAAACCCTGACTTTGTCTTAACTTCATTTACTTGGCCTAAGACTCTTAATGTTTCTGGGCCTCAGTTTTCCATATATCAAGGAGGATTTGAATAAGACAGTCTTGGAGGCAGCACTGACAATAACTGGCAGGGACTTAGTCCTGGCTTTCTCTAGCCTGGCCGTTTTCCTAGGGTGGATGACTACTAAGAGCTGTGTGCTTGGGCCATTCCTTCAAGCTGGGGGAAGATGACCAAGATGCTGGAGGAGGAAGAAGAGGTTCTCATGGTGAGGTGCTGGCCACACTTACAGTTCGTCGTCGTATTCCTTGGGGGGACAGACAGCAACAACCAGGTCGATCCAGTCCTGCAGGGAGAAGTCTTGTGACTCCAGAGCATGCTCAGGGCTCAATGGTGTGTCTGTCCCTGACACTCCATTCCCATTACTGGATCCCCAGCCAACTTAGATCTCCTTTCCTTGGGGAGGAGGCCCCTGGTGGAGCTGGAGTCCTCCAGCTGGGGATGGGGCTGCTGTTGGCTCCCATGGTCTAGGGAAGTTTCTAGATTCTGGGGCTTTGGAACCATAAGGCCAGGGTTGCCAGATCCTCGCATGACACTCAGTCCCCAAATGCTGACCTGTGGACCAGGGCCACATAGACCCTCGGAATCACTTGAGGGAAATGTCTTGAAACTCCAGACTCACACCTGGAAATCTGGAGCAGGTCCTGGGGAATAGTTTTTTAAACAAACTCCTTAGGTCATTCTGACCCACAGCCAATTGAGCAATTTCTGGTCTAGCTTTCTGATCCTAACACTGACCGGGTCATTGCCATCCTTGGCTGGTCCATCACTGTCCAACCTCAGCTTGTGTGTAGCCAATAAAAAACATGTGAAATATCACTGGGCCCTTCTATGATGGAACAACTTCTGATATTGAACTAAAACCTTTCCCCAGGACCTCCCTCCATCTAATCCAGTCCTGTCCTCAAGAATCACAGAACACACTTGTGCTCCTAATGCAGCACTTCAGATAATCAAAGCCAGTCATCATGTTACCCGTAAGTCTTCTCTTGTCCATATCCTTTCATGGGGGTCCCAGGCCCATCCGGCTGGCTTCCTCGGCACTGAACTTAATACCTCAGGCTCGGCTGCCTGCACACAGTTGCACAGGTTGTGCATTGCACAACTTGAATGGGCACCATTCATGTGGTAGGCTACAGGAAGGCACCCCCTCACACTGTGCGATGCACAGCCTGGGAGATCATATATGGGGGCCCTGACTCATGTGGGTGTCTGATAAGCTTAGAGCAAACTACCAGCAGCCTCTGCTTTTCGGGCCCTCACCTGTGAGTGATTTGTAGCAGCCCCAAGCATGTTCTTGATTCTGTTCAATGTGTACTTAGAGAAGGCCTTATCTTTTTTGGAGTGAGTTGCCAGGCCTTCTCATCTGGAGTCTGTATTCATGTCATGTGGTTTTTAGTCTCAAGGTCAAGAGTTGACATTTACTTTTCTGGAACCTGTCTTGTGAGATTAAGACCACTGGATGGGGTATGTGGGCATAATTCAAGCATTGCCTTGACCCTAGAAACCTGCCCTGTGTTGGGGCATCCCAAATGGAAGGCCTGGCTATAATGGCCAGGGTTTGAGGCAGGCAGGCAAGGGAGGGAGGAAGTGAACAGGCTTGTTTCTTACCCCTTGACTCCAGGCCTTCTGGAGGGTGGCTTCAGCCTCAGCCAGAGTGTAGCCGGTCACGATTTTGCCATTGATCGCCATCACTTCATCCCCTTTCACAATGCCACCTGCAGGAAGACAAGGCTGTTGGCTGTACGAGATACGTACGTGACCCAGAGCTAGGCAAAGCACTCTGTGTGGCTGCAGATGGCACCTGACTCCTACGTGCTGACAGCTCACGCGGGCTCAGAGCACAGGAGAACAACCTAGCAGGTTACTCAAAGGCCACCTCCTTCCCACCCTGGCCACGTGCCCTCACTCAGTTCAGTAGAATCGGGGCACAGTGAGGGATCACGGCTACCCAGCTTTCATGTGGGCCTCTGATGTTGGAGAAGGAGCAAACCTGCATTTCCAGTGAAGTTATCAGAAATGCTGGATGAGCGTTCTGGGCCACTCAGACCGGCTGGTCAGCTTCAGGTCCCCAAACAGGCAGAGCTCTGTGCTTGTCTCAAAGCCTCCATATGCTGTTCCAGCTGGAACATTTGCCCTCTCTCTTCTCTTCTAGGTCTGACACCGAATGCCTCCCCCTCAGAGAGGCCCCCGAAAGCCCCCACTTAATCTCAAGTAGATCTTTCCTATTACACTTTCCTGGCATCCTGGTTTCTTCCTGCACAGTATTTTCCAGTTTATAATCATAAATCTATTTGTTGATTGCTGTTCTCTCCTGCCAGACAATCAACCCCATGGGCAGGGACTGTCTTTTTGATTTACCACTATATCCTTAGCGTTTAACATAATGCATAGTACAAAATGATCCTAACACAAATCCAGTAGATAATTCTTTAATACATGAATGGTGTTATAGGTGTTCCTCGATGAGATGACCTATGTCTGCAAAAGCTGAGTTATCAGTAAGTTATTCATTTCACTAAAGGCCCTGTTGAAACTCTGGCCATGCTGATACGTGTGGTGGCACCTAAGAAGTGGTTAGATTGTGGCACAGCTTCCCATATACCTTTTTTTTTTAAGGAAAAATACCTTTTTTAAAAAAATTCTCTCTTTTTAAAAAGATTTATTTATTTATTTATGCATACAGAACTGGGCTTCAGGCCAGAGGTGTGGGGGTGGTGAGAGGATTCACCAGAGCCAGAGTGGGGAGCAGAATAGTGGATGGACTGAAAGACACTGCTGAGGGGAGCAGTGGGTGAAACAGGAGAGGTCTGCCACGCCATGTGGGTCCCAGTCCTGGTGTTCCCAACAGCATACTTTCTGGTTTATATTGAAATAGACCACCCAGAAGCCTTGAAGGCAGGAAGGCCCATGGGAGAGTGGTGTTACTGACGATGATGTCCCTGGTGCCTATATACATATGCTTCTGGGGAAACTTGTCCCAGCTGCTGTGAGCCAAAGCAGTCGTAAGCAGCAGTTTGGACAGTGGGCCTAGAGAGGGGGTTCCACTTCGGAAAGTGAATGGCAAGCCTGGGGGTAATAAGGCAGTGATAGTGCTGGGGCTTTATCAGAGGCAGAAGGGCCCAGGAAAAGTCACCTCTCTATCCTGGTCCTCTTTCTCACTAGACATGCAGCTAGGTTGCTGGCCAAGCAGCAGCCCTACCCCAAGTGGCACAGAAAGGGGGAGAGAGGAGTGTGTGGCCGGGATGGCTAAGGGTGGGCCACACAGCTGCCACTGGAGAAGATGCCTCTCTTGCAGTTGAAATGAAGAGTGTGGCTGTAAGGGGCCTGAGGTCACCAAAGCTGTGCGTGGCAGAGTTGGAATCACTTCAGTGACCCACAGAAGCCTGACTATCAATGACCAAGTGATGTCCCATTCGCTCCATCACCTGCCTCAGGCCTCAAACACCCGCTATTCTATCATCACAGGTGTGTGGGAGAGCTGACACCAGCCTTGCACTGCCCAGAAGGGGTCTGATGATGGGATTCCCCAGTTTGACCTGAAAGGGAGAGGGGTGAGGGACACCTTCAAGGGCATCTGTTCCTTGATGAAGCACTCGAGAGTCTTGGAAAGCCTCCTGGATTGGGAAGAAGAAATCTCTCCAGAGTTTCAGACTGACAGGTGAAGGGGTTGAGCGTTTGAAGCAAGTCTGTGTCTAGGATCCTTAAAGGTTTTGCTTCTCAGCAGAGGGCACTTTTGTTGATAAGGGGGTCAAGGCAAAGCCATATCATGCCACAGGAGGCTGGTGTGAGGGGCGCCGTGCCCCTCTGGGAAGGGCCATGGCTGTGGAAGCCGTCCCTCACATTGTGTATTAGATCAAAATGGCCAAACTACTTGGGTTCAAGTCCTGCCTCTACATTTGCTGGCCGTGTGTTCCAACAAGCACATTAACCCTTGCATGCTTCAGTTTCTTAAGTTGTAAAATAAGAGTAATAATAGTACCTACCTTGGGGGATGCTGTAGGCTTCCAAGAGTTAATATACTGCTACATAGGTACATATGTGCAGGTACTTAGAACAGCATCTGGGCTATGGTTAGTTCTTGCAGATGTTGCTCTCATTGCTATTAAAAGGTAGGGCTAAGTTTTAATGATTTCTCTTCTCCCTTTGCACTGTTCTCCCTTCTTCTCAGGGAAACATTCAGGTTTCCTTCTGGCTGCCATTCCCAGCAGCTCCCTTTCTCTTGGTGGGTTAAGAGTCCACAGGGTTCCCGCAGTTTCCTCCACCCCCTTAGCCTTCTGTCAGTTCTTAGCAAACTGTACTTCAGTGCCTGCCAATTCTGAGCATGATTCCACCACCAGATTGGGGGTCCCTGGAGGGCAGGGCAGTGTCTGGTTCAGCTGTCCACCCGCAGGTCTTGGCAGCATCAGATGCCTGCCGGATGGACAGTTCCAGATGAGAGGCATTCTGGAACGGCTGTCAGCCCACTCTAAGAGGACGGCTGCTTGCTTTCCGGAGGGGCCTGTGTAACCACTGCCCACAAGGCCGGTGCCCACTCACCATGCCGCTCAGCGGCTCCGCCCTCATAAACAGCTGAAACGACCACCTTCCCGATCGGGGAGTCCACACCACCTTCCAAGGCCAGGTCTAAGGATCCTTCCTGGTTAGAGAAAAAGAGGCTTTAGGGAGCTAAGTAGACAGACAGCTGCACCAAGAAGCCTCTGGACAGGGCCACAGCGAGAGCAGAAGCCTACGGGTCAAAGGCATGTGGTGCCATGGAAGGGGCACCCTCAGGGATCAAGGGGGGAATAGCAGGGACCTAAGGGATCTCCCAGGAGAAACTGTGAGAGTAGAAGCGGGGGACCAAGGTGAGAGGGGGCAAGGCAGAGAAGGGGGTGGCCTTCCCACCTCCTGTGCCCAGGTACCTTCTTAATGCGCAGGAGCCGGACATCCTTTCCTTTGATCTGCTCGTGGGTGAACTAGAAGAAAAGAGAGTGGGGTGGCTGAATCACCTGAAGGATGAGGGTGGAGTCAGGGGTGGGGGTTGGGCCAAAGCAGACACCTGTGGGATGTGGGTTTCCTGGAGTTCACAGACACGGGGAACTTTCCCAGCCTGATCAGGCTTCAACTGGGCTCCCCAGATTTTGCTGGGTGACATGGACACACACACACACCCCCCGCCATATGCTGTCTCAAAGGAAGTTCCACAAGAAAGAGCAGTGAGGCCCTCCTTGGGGTTCCTCGTGCCTGGGACCTCAGGGTCCAGAATGTACCATCAAATGCACTATAACCCTAGCCTTCAATTCTGGGATTGCTCCCTCAGGGGAAAGAAAGTTATTACTCACCATGGAGTAGGGGTCAAAGCCTTCCTCATATTTCCGGAAATCCTGGAAACAAAAGGAGGGTATGGGGGAACAGAGCAGAGGTTGCTGAGGGTCACCGCAGGATATAAGCTTAAAGCAGAGGAAAATGAAGGTGAATGGGTCAGCAGTGGAGGGCAGGGGTGGTCCAGATGGGGATGTAGAGAGGAAGCTGACAACCCCTATAGGCAGAACTCCCCAGCCCAGGAAGAAGCAAGGCACGGAAGTGCTTGAGCAACCCGACCCCGGCCCTTGCATTGCTCCAGACCTCGGGGTGGCGTCTGAGACGCCAGGGGCACCTGCTGATGTCTCGGAGGTCTAGGCAGGTGTGTCGGGCTTGCTGAAGGTCTCCTCTGGCCTTCTAGGCCCTGCCTCCATCCCTCCAAGAGCCACGAGGCCAGGGCCAGGGCCAGCTTTTCTCCAGCCAGGGTTCTGACCCCAAAGGACAATCCTGCTCAAGAGGCTGCTCTCCTTGCAGAAACCAGCGACCAGATGACTCGGGCAAAGGGAATCAGGCATGAAGTGGGAAAACGAGGAGGTTTCTGTGCTGACCTGGTACCTGACACTGTTCTTAATGTAACACTTAGCTAGAAGGCAAGAGGTGTCCCCAGAACCTTCACGGGGGCAGGGGGTGAGGGAAGACACAGCTCAGTCACCTGACTGTATGGGGGCCAGGGAACAATGTCCCCATGATACTGGCAAGGTAACAAGGTAACAAGGAGGCAGAAGGGGACAGTCACAACAGTTTGCCTTCCCAGGAGTCACACACAGAGTGTGGGCGCCCGGGCCCCCTCTTTAGACCCTATGGAAAGGTGGGGCGAAGGATAGACAGGAGTCCACACAGACCTCCAGCACACAGTTCTCAAGGCCTTGCCAAATGTCCCCTGGGCCTAGGGTGAGCATCCTAGCAACGCCACAACTCCCTGCCTGTTGTAGCACATGGCAACCAAGCTCTGGGCACAAGGGCTAAATCCCAGCAGATGCATCCTGGGCATCTGTCTATCCCCCCTCACCAGCCTTCCAAAGGTCACCCCCAAAGAGCAATAGGATTCTCCTGGCTGGCCCAGCTCAGAAGCCATGCCTAACTGGCCTATAAGCAACGGAGAGGAAGGGGTTCGTTAGATCTCTGTGCAAACGCATCAGGCTCATGTGGTGTGAATGTTATGTTACTGGCAGGTCCCTGCCTGGCTGTTTCTTTGGGAAATTACAGCTCTAGCCGTCCCTCTCTCCTTCCCTCCGAGAACTGCTCTCTGGGATGGGCCGATGGCATCTTGTTTTATTTTAGATGAGACACCTATCTATAACATACACCTACACAGCTGGCCAGTCCTTTAGAAGGGAAACTAACCTTTCATCCAATAAAGAAACTGAGACCCAGAGACGTGACATTCATGTCCAAGGTCACCCCGCCTGTGAGCAGTAGGCAGTTTGACTCCCAGAGGCAGACTCTTGCCTGCCTCTCTCTCTGTGAAGGCTGCCCATGCCCTAAAGAACAAGGCCCTTACATATCTGTCTCATAATCCCAGTGCTTAGACAATCAGGCTGGCGTAGCTTTGAGGAGTCCACCTGGATTTCAGTCCAGGGTCTGACACTAGCTGCAGCATCATAAGCACTTCCAATCTCTCTGCTTCAGTGTTTCATCTATGAAATGAAGGTGATAATAGCACTTAGGTCCCAGGGCTACTGTGAAGAGTGAATGAGTTCACGTACATTTGGAAACAGCGCTTAGCAGAGCATCCCTTTTAGGTGTTAGCTGTCGCCCAGCCCTGGGTGGGGAGCAGGCCCCTCCGTGGGCTTCGCTATACAGGTGTCTCACTATACAGCTGCCTTCTGCTCCCTAACTGCAGGGAAATGAACCGGCAGTCAGGAGGCGGGTCATGGGTGAGGATATTGACTGTACAGACAGGCTGCGAAATATCCCTCTATCCTGAGGTCTCTTTCCTAGGTGGTCAAATAGCCAGTCCAGCGGCTGGCTCTGTGGCTGTAAGCCCCAGCAGGTGGAGGGACAGTGGCTGCCAGGATGGAGGGCCCTGGCGAACAGAGGGCCTGGGTTGCCACTTCCTTCCTTCCTGGTACCGGTTTAGTGAGGGTGGGGCTGGGTGAAGCCAGGACCCACTTTGAGGAGACACCTCAGGCACCCCCTTTCCCTGCTAAGACTGGAACAAGGGTCCATCATGGCCTCTGTGGCCCTCTGTGGTCTCCCTCTGCTTGTTCCTCTTCGAACAAATAGCAGCAAGAGGAGAGCCCCTAGGACCTCCTGCTTCCTCAGCTTGGGCAGGGGTCTGACAAGCCCACCTCGTATGAAACCCTCCCTAATCCTGGCCTCCAGGGATGGTCTCCAACCCAACAAGTGCTCCCAGGGAGAGAAGTCAGAATGGGAGGGATGGGGGTGACAGGAAGGACCCCAAACACAGCAGGCATGGGGTGTCATTTTACTTGTCTGAAGGCTGTCTGATACACCACCATCCTCTTCAACATCTCCTGTGGCTGCCAGAAAAAAAAAAATAGTTCCATGCTGGACATTATCAATAGGACTCGTCTGCCCCCTGGTGCCCGACCCTGGGCCTGCCAGCTGGCGGCCGGCCTGCCAACTTCTCCCTCCTAAGCAGGCGCAGTCTGGCTTATGCTAGGGGCTGGCTCTGGACCCTGGGACACAGCAGTGACACGTCATGTCACCTGTCAGAAACAGCAATGTGGACGCAAAGCAGGCCATCATAGGAGCTTGAACTTTGCTCTTTAGGGAGCTGACAAGACGGTTAAAGCTTAAAATAAGTAGATTGTCCTGCCCTGACATTTAGATAGGGTTTCTCGAAAAGGGAATAAAAATTCTAGCATGACACTTGACACTGGGGGTGGGAGGACAGTCAGTGGCTGATTCTCCAGAGTGGGGTGCCCCTGAGTGTATCACAGCTACAGCAGACTGGGGTAGGCAGACACTCCACTCCCTCAGCACCACACCCCTGGCAACCAGTTCTGTGAGGATGAAGTAGAGAAAGGCAGCAGGTCTGCTTTGGTCAGTTCCCCATCTGAGGGTGACCAGGCCAAGCCATGCCAGGCCCGAGGGGCAGAGGCCAGGGCATTGCTGTAGGTTTCAGCAAGATGGCAATATACATTAGAGCTTGGGCTTTGGAGTCTGAGAGACTCTGGATTAAGTAGTAAGTCCAAGCTTCAACTTGAGCAACTGACTTAACCTTTCTAAGCCAAGCCTCAGTTTCCTCAAATGTTAAACAGAGGTAAGAACAGGTAACAAGTCACTGAGCTATTTTGAGACCCGCCACATGATAGGCTGGCGAAAAGACTTAGCTATTATTATTGTTACTTTAGATAGAGCTCCAGGCTGTTTGGGAAACTTCCAAACACTCCAACAATGTTCATGTCAACACCTGCTGGCACCCAGTGGATTCATCTCTTGGCCAAGGAGAAGGCTGCAAATGGCACTCAGTGTGAGTTTGTCCCCCTCTTCACTCTCCTTCCAGAGACAGGGAGGAGAGCCCTCTTCTGCTCCCCTGGAGATGTCTTGGAGGGGGCTCCCGGGGGCTTACCAGGGCCTCAGATTTCACAGCTGGCCTGTAGATGAAGTTGGACTCCTGGTGGACCATGACAGGTTTGGAGATGGTGGACACGCCAGGGCCTCGAGGAGGCTGTGGGCTTGGGCAAAATGTCTACAGGGGTTAGTTTAAGAGAGACCCATATAAGGTCCCAGTGGGATGGTTCAGGCCAAGCTTGGCACTTGGGCACACATGCAAATTCACACCCACCATGCACATGCTAAGCACATGTTCTCTTCACCTGTTGGAGGCCCTAGGGGTGTGAACGTCAGCAGAGAGAGCCACAGAAATACCTGGGTGCTCTAAGAAATCAGGGGTTGAGCCAGAGTCTGGTCATGAGGGTGCCAGCAGCCAGTGTCACCCTGGATATTCTTCCATGGCCCTGTCTCGGTCCACATGGGCACTGTCCTGCCTCCTTTCTCCCTCTCTTTTGCCTGGCCATGGTTCTAATCTCTGGACTGGACACAAAGCTGCTATTCCTGGTGGGTGGACAGTCCCTTGATAAGCCAGTGGATAAGGGTCAATCAAGCAACCTCCACAGGGACAGAGCCACTTGTCTCTACCCCACTGGATACTCGTGGGCAAGATGAATCAGGTCACAGCTTTACTCCAAATGCTTCATGGGTTCCCACTGACAACTTGACCCCCAAAGTGCTTCATGAGCTTCTCTTTCTTCCTTTGTAGCCTCATTCATATTACTCATTCTGCTTAACTGCAGCCTCCAAAATGCCAGGTTTTCTGCTTGCTTTTTGCATACCTCACTTCCTTCTGCTCTACCTCCCCAGATCTAAACTTAGGTATCACTGCCGTCAGCAAATATGCCTTGAGCCTTTTCTCTCCACTCCTACTCATCACAGCACCTGTCTTCCCCCCCATCTCTCCTTCTTCCTAGGGTGTCTATCTTCTCCACCACACTGTCCCAGGCAGGGGCTGGGTTGCCCATTTTGTGGCCTGGAATACAGCAGATGCTTACTAAACATGTCAAATGAGAAAGTGAATGACTCAGTAATGTGCTGGGCACGTGGGGGTATAGGTGGCCCTCAAAACCTTCACCTGGAAGGTGCTGTGTGTCAGGCTGACATGATAAGGTGACACACATGAGGCTTAATGGTGGCTGGCTGACTGTGCAGATGTGTGACCAGCCACACTTCCTGCTGCAGCGCTGGTGACAACTTGCCAGGAGCATACAGGAAGAGGAGGTTGGGCAAGGTTGGGAGCCAAAGTGTTGATGCAGAAAGGAGAACACTAATGAAAACAGCACCTCTCCTGCCTCCAGCCTTCGAGTCAGGGACAAACCTGGCTTTGATGCCATTCAAAACACGCAGGGTCTGTTCTTCAGAGGCCCCTGTGTGGAAGAGCTTTTAATTTTCTGAGTGGGAACTTCCTGATTCTTTGAGGAACCCAAGAAAGATGGGACCAGTTCTGGATCTTGACCCTGCCTCAGAAGTTTGCATTTTACCTCCAACACCATGTTTGCAGCTTCACCCCAGGTTTTCTGTGCTCTGCTTTCACTTTATGTCCACTGAGCACCTGCCACGTATGGGCTGCTCTCCTAGACATAAACCTAGAACAAGTTAATGTATTAACTCCTTTGACCTTTACAAAAGGCAGCTGCTATTAACACCCCCATTTTATAGACAGGGACACTGGGCTTAGACAGATGAAGTAACACATGACCCCCAAATCACCCAGCTAGTGATCAGCCTTCAAACCCAGGAGGGTCCTCCTTGCATATTTATGTTCCTTGTGCCCTGCAATGCCTCCCTCCCAGCTTCCACTATTATCATCACTCAAGGTTCGACTCCTACGTCTTTCCTCTACAGAAGTGCCTTCCACCTCCCACTGCACCTGGCCTGTGCCAATTTTGTAGCTGAACCTTGCCCGATCAGTTGCTCATTTCAGAGGCAAAGTCCTAGAGAGCACAGGTGTGCCAATCTGTCCTGTATCTTCTTGCTCTCACCTTTCTTCTCCCCCTCCCTCCTGAAAGATACACAGAACAGGCATCAATGACTGCTGACTCAAATTTGTTGAGGAAAAGCTGCTGCCCATCTTGGCAGAATCCCTCCCAGGAAGGATGTGGTTCTCTGTGCTGGGCCAGCTCAGACCCTTGTGCACCTGCTGTGTCTGGGCTCCGGAGCACGACCTCCCTGGGACAGACACTTCTCTCTGCCATTGCTGCAGGGTTCAAGCCCCCACAGGAGGCTCAGAGAGAATCCCTCTGGGGATTCCTTTCAGGAGTTGCAGCCATTGGCATCTGGCATTTGACTCACTCCCACATCTGGCATTTGACTCACTCCCGGTTTCCTTCTCCCAAGCTCTCTCGAATGCTCTGAAATGTTTGTTCTGTTCCTTATGCGGGAAACTCAAATTCATGCTGGGGAGGTTAATAGAATCTCCTGCTTGGGTACTACTGAATTGGGTACCACCCGAATGCCCTCTCTGTCAAGCCTGGCTTGTGGCTACTAGAAGAGAAGAGATATTTTCCTTTTTTTTCTCCATAGGACCAAAGCTTCAAGATTGCGTCTTCCAGAATAGTCTTTGAATTAAGAACAATTAAAAATGAAATAAGCATTTTTGAGAAAGATCATTATTGTGGGTCCTGACATCCAAGAAAAGTATACCTAGCTTTTAATAGTTAATTTGGAGCTTTTTAGGAAGTATCCGTCTTTATCTTTTCTGTAAGCTGAGAGTTGGCCAGAAGTTTCTAGCTCTTTTATTTCAAGTCAATGTAGTTGGCCAGTTCCATAGAAAATGACACTGAAATGTTCTGAACCTGCAATGGACAGTGTTAGTACTTCATTTACAGAGACTCAGACAGCTGTCCTGCTCCCACTTTAAAAAAAAAAAAAAAAGATTTATTTATTTATTTATTCACATGGAACTGGGGTACAGGCCAGAGATGTGGAGGGTGAGAAGATTCACCAGAGACAGAGAGGGGAGCAGAACAGGCAAATCAACGAAGTATACTGCTGAGGGGAGTAGTGGGCGGGCCAGGAGAGGTCTGCCGCGCCATGTGGATCTCCTCCGGAGAAGGAGGGAAGCGAACTCATGCGAAGTGGCTTTAGCTTCTTAGTGCTGTGCTTTAACCAGCTGCTGTGCCACCAGGGAGGGCCTGCTCCCAGTTTTTAACCCATTAAACCAAGGATTCATTTTCCATATTTAAGGCTTCCCAGGCTAATACCAAAAAATGACTGGGGGCCCTCCCTGGTGGTGCAATGGGTTAGGATGCAGCACTGCAAGCTGGCCGCAGCTGCTTCAGTGTGAGTTCGATCCCTACCTGGGAGGTGATCCATATAGTGCAGCAGACCTCTCCTGACCCCTCAGCAGCATACTTCAACTATCTGCCTGTTCTGCTCCTCGCTCTGTCTCTGCTGAATCCTCTCACTGCCCCTGCACCCCTGTTCTGTATGCACAAATAAATAAATCTTAAAATAAAAATGACTGGCTGGGACATGGAACTCTGGCTATGAAAAACATCCCTGCAAGTACTAGCCCATACTAGCCAAAATGGACTTGACCAGCCCACACCAACCAAGGAGAGCAAAGAGAGAGCAATGAACATCGATACATTCTTGTTCCTTCTTAGCATCACACACATTCCACCAGACACTACAGCAGTCAGCGCCAGCAGGAACCACACACATGCAGGGTGTCCATAACACAGCGGTGGGGAGCGCACTCCTGGAAAATGAGGTGGGGTGATGTTTCTTCCAGCACCACTCCAAAGGTGAGTGGAAAGTGTGGGAAACAGCAACCCTGGCCGCTTTTCCCGCTCCCCAACACAGCATGCAGAACGGGGTGGTACCTTTGGGGTGGGTGGAAAGCTCCGTTCAGGGACAGGGGACTGGGCCATCTTCCCACTGCGGTGCTTTGCCTCCCAGTCCTCTGTTGGGCTGCCTGTGTCCCCAGCACGGAAGGTGTGGTTGCCCAGGGCTTCTTCCAGGGCGGAGGGCAGTGGGCGGGTGGGAGTGAGGTCTTGGGTGGGAATTGACGGTGGAGGAGGGATGGGAATGGGGGGTGGAGTGCGTTGCACCCAGGGTGAGGATGAGGCACTCATACGGCCTGATGAGGGAAGGACAGGGGGTGCAGGGACTTTGGGGGGTGGGTTGGAAGGTGGAGGGTGGGGCATCACAGGTAAGGCAGAGGGAGTCTTGGGGGGATAGTAGAACATATCCAAGGGGATGTCATCCAGGTCAGTGGTGTGGAGGTGCAGTCCACCTGCAAAGCGTCTCAGAGGTGGGGCCATGGGGGACACGGAAGGCAGAGGAGGCGGGGGCCCTGTGGTCATCTGGGGGTTGCAAAGAAGTTCTGTAGTTACTGCACCAGTGACCTACTCTACAATACATTAAACACAGTGTTCTTCTCATCTGTTTCTCTTGCTGCTGGGGACTCACCACCTTCAAACCAAAACCAGGGGTGGTCACTTCTCTGGCACCTGGTGTCCAGCTGAGCCCCATACCAGGCAGTCAGTGGGGAGTGGCCCATACAAGGGGGTCCCAAATAATGCCATCCATGGGTGACAAACTAGGTGCCTAAATAATTAATCATCTCAACGGGAACACGCTTGGCAGTGAAGAAGCACTCGTAGTAATGATGCCAGGACAACAGACAACAGGCCCATGTAGGACCATCTCAGACAAGGTAGAATTTAGTGGTCACCTGGAGACAAGGCCAGAAAAACTGAGTTGTCCCCCATTCCAAGACAGGGGGTGGGAGTGGGCTGGTGGGCCCACAGGAGTGTGCGAGGCCACAGGAGGAGCTGGGTGGCAGGGGCTCTATTACCTCTGGAATCTCATTATCAGCAGAGGAAATCTGCTCAAGGCGCGTCTGACAGAGCCTTTCCACCCAATACTGAATCTTTTCCGATTCCTCGAGGTCTTCCCGCTCTGTCTCGGACACCTGGAGCCCAGGTCGGCCCAAAAAGGGGGACAAAGGCACAGTTGTCACAGGTGGGCAGCAGAGTCAGGAGTAGAGAGATACTTCTTTAAAAGTCCCCAAAGACTTGAGAAACAAGAGGGAGAGGGTGTCAGATGTCGGGTCAACTGAATAGTACCAATGGGAAAAATCTGAGAACGGGGTCCTGGGTTGCATGGGGGTCACCTTATCCCCAGGATCCTCATGAACCCTGAAACTCCTATGATTCTCAAAAAAAAATCCATTTGTAGAATCCTGAAACATGCCAACAGTTTGACTTTACTTTTGTTTTCTCCCTGTAGGCTGCCTTGTCCTCAGAATCACAAGTTTGATTTTAATTTTGCAGCAAAGTGATTCCTAATGTCAGCCCTAATGCACTTTACATTTTCCAGGACTTCTCTGGTTTTGTAATCTAATTAGCTTGGCATTCTGATTCATGGAAGCAGCACTGATAAAACCTGCAACAGTTAGGGAGTTAAAGTCACCCAGCCCACCCACAAAATAGGAACTACTGCTACGAGAATACTGCTTTGGGCATGGTTTGAGGACAGCTTTAGATTCATTCCCGGGTCTAGCCGCAGGCACGAATCCTGTGTGATGGGAGCAGCTTCAGATTCACAACCTGATCAGTTGGGGGACAGCCTCAGCCTCAGCCCGCACAAAGTGGTTAGCCTCAGAACACACCCTCAAGCCAAGACAGGCTGGGGAAAACTGTTCTTGGATTCAGAACCAGGGCAGGGGGAGGTGAAGTTGACTTAGACCTAATGACAGATGGGTGGAAGGTTAACTTCAGATCTAAAATCTAGGCAGAAGGGTTAGCCTCAGACTCACACCCTGCAAAGGGAGGGCTAGCCTCGGGCTCATCCTTGGACAGGGTGGGGATGAAAGACCAAGTGGGTAGAGGGCCAAGCTAAGACCCTACCCCCTGGGTGGAGAGGCTAGCTCAGGCCCATGCCTGAGCAAGGAGCTAGTCTTAACTACAATCATACACCTAACCTCGAAGTTAGCCTCAGGAGACCCTGGGCCAGCAGGTGAGCTTATTCCCCAGACTGGGGAGGGAGTGGGACTTACTCCCTTGTTGAGAACAACTCCAGATGGTCCCACGGGGAACATGGCATGCGGGGACCTAACTGTCCCAGGGACGCTCACCTGGCCCGTGAGCAGGACACGTACCTCCTGGGCCAGCCGGTTGATCTTTAGTTGCTTTTCTTTTTCCAGCATTTCCTCTTTCTCTTTGTAAAGCTTTTGTTCAAATTCCAGTTCCTTCTTATTCTTTCTCAACTCCTGCAGGCTGTCATACTTGGCTTTCTTCTTATCTTTTCCTTTCTGAGCAGATGTGGCATTGTTTACATTACAAGGGGTACAAAGTAACGTGGACACTGGCACAGCAGGCAAACAGGGCATTCGATTTTCAGACAACCAGCACAGGCTGAATCTCTCCCCCCACTCGACCTCACCACCCTGGGCAATGGCCCTCCCACGCTATCACTGCAGAGTGGGAGGCACATGCCACGCCAGCCAGAAGAACTGGCTTACTGTTCCACTAACTAGCAGTGCCACTTTGACTAAGTTCTTTAACTTCTCTGGGCCTGACTGCATCACCTTTAAGCTGGGGGAAATACCTGCACATAGACTTGCTATCCTAGCCAATGAAACAATACCTATGAAAGTATTTGATAAACTGTTAAGTGCTGTATAAATAAAAGACATTGCATTTATTTCCTCGTATCTGAGTACCTGCCTTCTGCACCATCTGGATGTTCAGACACCACAGATGCATGCTGAGAGGCTTTAGAGAAAATCTGGAGGAATCAGGGCAACCCCATTTGTAGAGATCCTTTAATCTGAGTTAAAAGAGGTGGGAACCAAATTCACACCTCAGAGGACAGAGCTAGAGACATCAGATTTTGTCCCAACGCATAAGCTCCAGAGCATTTCATCCCAAAGAACCCAAACCCACGGTCCCTTCCGAACCTAAGTCCCTGCAAGGATGATTAGACAGAGGCAACAGGACTGGGAGATGGAGTGGTGGGGAGGGGGAAAGATGGCCATGAGGGTTTGGGAAGAGTTGAGGGGGGAGATACATGACAAAAAGACTCATATTTTTTTTTTTCCTGTTGGAAACTAGACCCACAAAGTCTGCCTCCCTGGTAGAGATCCCTTGGAATTGCAGGGAAGCCAGGAGTAAAGAAGGAAGAGAATGAACATTTATGGGTTGTCTATGTGGTGGGGGTGTAGACTGATCATCGTAAACAGGCATTATCCCCTTTCTCTTAATGAAGAACTTAAGATTCAGACAGAAGTCCCTTGTCTGATCTCAAACATCAGGTAAGTGGTGGTGCCAGGATATGAACCCAAGTCTTTAGGGTCCCACAGCTTTTCTAGTGTGCCCTGATGAGTTGCACATAATGGGAGCATGGCAGAGGGGTGGTTGAGGCCCATCACACAGCATGGGGGACAGAGCCAGCACTCAGGCGAGAGGGCAGCAGGGAAAGTTCCACACTCTGGGAGAAGGAGAAAACCTGCAGGTTCATTGAGTTCACCTCACAATAAGTTCCCGGGTCTCCTTTCAGAATTCCTCTATCATCCCAACCGAGGCTAGGAAAGAGGAATTTCATTTCCCAGCAGTGGACCCGCAACTTTGGCCACAGCTGGAGAGGGCTCGTGGGTCATCACAGACCTATGATGGTGTCACCCTGCCTCTCCTCCTAAAGTCAGTCCCACCTCCGATCACAGGTAATGTGCTCTGGAGTTGGTCCCCCATCCGAGAGCAGTCTGAAGATTTTGAGAAGTGGCTTCAGAGTTTGGCTAGGCTCTTTGCCTGCCCTGCTCACTAGATTCTTGGTTCAGCTGATAGGAGAATCCCTGCCATTATGTTATAGATTCAGGTAGCAATTCCCCAAGAGGAGCCAGAAATATTCTGCCTAGTGATCGTTTGCTACAATAGGGGTCTGACTTTGCACAAGAGCCACCATGAAGGAATGGCCATTCTGTTGGTAAAGAAAAAGAAACCAAAACCTAAAATTTTAAGAGTCAGGGTTCCTGGGTGCGTCAGGCAGCCGTGACAATTTCTGTACCACCTCAAGAAATCAGCCCTATAGCATGGCCCACTAATTTCATCCAGCCCTCTGTGTATGGGTCATTTAGTTGTGTGTGACTTCGCCTCCCCTGCCTGCAAGTAGGGCTGGTCTGTGTGATTTATTAAGCAGTTCGGGAGAATTCAAACCCATGAATCCTTCAGGCTTGGTACAGTCTTTATGGGGTCACTGGCCTGAGGGCTTTGAGTCCCAGAGGGATTTATTGTCAGGTTTGGAATAGAAGACATTGAATCTGTCTTTTCCAAAGGGGGGATTTTGTGCATTGCTGGTCATGGCCATAGACAGCCACTGGTATTCCCCAGAGTTCCAGCTCTTGAGGACAAGTGTCTCACATGCTCTAGAGAAAATGATGATGGATTTTCAGAGCCAACAGGAGGGACATGATTCTATTGCCCTTTTAGCTGCCAGTTAAACTCAAGACAAATAATTTCTTTTGGTTTAAACTGAGAGGAGACTATGGGGTTGATGTTTTTCTTGCTTCTACCTCAAAGCAATTTTCTTCTCATTTGGAAATGAAATGAAAAACAAACACCAGTTATTTCTGGAAAGACTGAGCTTAATGAGTAGGGAGGAAATGAGCCTACCTTTTACCAAAAATTTTCCTTCTAAGATTTATTTATTTATGCATACATAACTGCGGTACAGGCCAGAGGTGCAGCGGCAGTGAGAGGATTCACCAGAGATAGAGTGGGGAGCAGAACAGGCAGACTGATGAAGTGCACTGCTGAGGGGAGCAGCAGATAAGATAGGTCTCCTGTGCCATGTGGGTCACCTCCCAGTCTGGAGATCGAACTTGCACTGAAGTGACTGCAGCTAGCTTCACAGAGTGATGCTTTAACCTGTTGCGCCACAAAGGAGAGCCTTTTTTACCAAAAAATTTCAAGTAACATGATTTCTGAGGTGGGTGTGGGTGTGTGCTCTCACTAGGTTAAGTCCTAGGAGAGAAACAGTATATAGAGAAGAACTGGGAATCTAAACCAATGAGACATCCTAAGCCAAGAGTCAGCCTGTAAAATGAAAAGGGCTGTCTTATGAAATCAAATTCTTTCTGAGACCATGATGGTGTGAAAAGGAATCCCCCTGAGGTGTTCTGTCCTATCTGTATCCAATGTTACAAATCAGGACCTGTGTGCCTTGGTAGAGACAGTAACCTCTGCAGGAATAATATCGCTGCTTATTGCATCTCAACAATATCCTTAAATATTGGGGGAAAGGACCCTCCCTAGTGGTGCAGTGGGTTAAAACACAGCACTAAAAAGCCAAAGCCACTTCAGAATGAGTTAAATCCCCGCACTGGAGGTGATCCACATGGCGCAGTAGATTGCTCCTGACCCACCCGCTGCTCCCCTCAGCAGTGTGCTTCATCTATCTGCCTGTTCTGCTCTCCACTGTCTCTGGTGACTCTCCTCATTGTCCCTGGACCTCTGGCCTGTACGCCAGTTCTGCATGCATAAATAAATAAATCTTAAAAAAAAAAAGTTGAAGGAAGGGGCAGATGTTTCCAACATATCAGCTATTCCCATTTTACAGGCAGAGAGAAATTATCCATCACCAATGTCACCCTGCTGCCAGTGCTTTGGTTTTTGGGGGTTGACATCCTTCCAGAAAGAACCAGCTGCACAATAACACCTAAATGAGTCCACCAGATTTATGCTGATGCCAGATTTCCAAATCCCAAGTCATCTCGAATGTCCAATTTACAGATATTAACAGCAGCGTCCTCATAATCAAATGCCAAAGTGATTTAGAAAGAAAAAGGACAAGAGAGTTTTATGGGGCCTGGAGGTAGAGTAATAAGATTTAGAGAGAAATTGCCAGACCCCTGAGACGAGAAAATGCATTATCCTTGGCACATGCAGGGATATGTGTAGGAGAGAGTTACCACTGCTGTGGCTTCGTGTCCCAACCCGAGGCAGCAAATCCCTCACCTCCGCAGAGTCAAACTCATCACCCAACCTGCTAGTTCACTCTGACCTTGGTTTTGGTCTTGGCCTGTGGTTCTATGTAACAGAAACCAAACACAAGTTTCCTGCTACAGCCCAGCCCCTGCCCTATGCCCGCTGGAGTCAGTGCTGAGTGGTCAGTGCCTGACGGTTCTTGGCAGGGGTGGGGGTGGAGGGTCTCCCTCTGTGACCCCATGACCGGGTCCTGCCACCTGACGTCCGCGTGCACAGAGGCACAGATGGGGTGAGCCCTCCAAGTGAACAGCTGAGTTACACTGTTGGGCGTTGACAGGAAAAGAAATAAGGTTTGAGAAAGGCAAAAACCCACAGCAAATTCAGCAGCAAAGCAGCACGGCACTCAAATCCTGTCCTACCTTCCGGATGGTTGGGAATTTGCCATCATAACGATAAAACCACCCAAATGCTACAAGAACACAGAGAACAAAGTGAGGAGACCTGGTTCAGCTCAGCCAGAGCTCAGGAACAGCATCCAGGAGTTGGGGTTCCAAAGAACATACGTCTGGGAGCGAGGAAGACCACTCTGCGGATGCAATCCCAAAACTGTACCCTCTGGCATGCGCGACTTACCTGACCTCACCTGGGGTGGAAAGCAAGCCCAAGACCACCTGGAAAATGCCCGAGTCCCAGGACCTAGGCTCCTGTCAACTGCCTCCCCTAGGACACTAGCTTCAGAAGTCAGTGCCAGAAAATCAAAGAGAAAGCCCCTTGTGGAAGGAGGAGCTTTTCCAAATGGCAGCCATAATCTCCAAACACAAAGCCCTGTTGAAAGAGAACAAGGTCTCTCCAGATTGAGGTTGGTCTCTTCAACCGAGAAATGTCTGGAGACAATGGGAGCCTGGGTCTCTGCCTAGAAATGCTGTCAGACAGAACAGAACCGTCTTGTTCCACAATGCAGGCCACATCTTCAGCATCAAAAGAGAAGGCCTGGCTGGGATTAGCTCTGGGAAGGACTGCTCTGGCAGCAGTAGCCAGAAACTCTGCCCCCGGGAAAGCATATCCCCAGCCAGGTCAGATAACCAGGGCATCAATCAGGCCCTGCTGTCCCCAGGCAACAGCATGACAGGGCAATGCGTCAAACCCAAAGCTCACTGGGCCAGCCGCAACGGCTTAAACAATTATCCACCGCTGACCAGTTAGTGTTCTGGACTAGGACCTTAAAAGCCCCTCTACTGGATCGAGCACAACCTCCATAGTTGCTAGATCTTGGGGAGCTGTAGGGAGTTCTAGGGGAGAAGCCAGAGCAGCAGAGGAAGGACTTGGGCTTGGGCAAGTCCTTGACTGTTTGAACCAGCGTCTCAGCCATCTAGATGTGCACCAGGTCACCTTTCAGCCTGGCCACAAGGCCTGTTCTCAAGGTGACGGGTGCAGTGCTCGGGCCAGGTTCAGAGGCGCTTCGCAGACTCCGGGCGTCCCCACCCCATGTTGGCCTCTCAGAGCTGAGTGTCTGGGCTGGCGGCAGGAGGAAGGGGAGCAAGCGCAGCAGCAAGGTCAGGGAGCAAAGCGGGGTGCAAACCTGCTCTCCCTGCTTCTCCACGCCTCCTGTGCCTCCTTGCGAGTTGTTCACCAGCGCCTGCACCTCTGCCTCATCGCCTACCCAGGGAAAGAGGAGGAAGCCGATGAGCAAAGACCTGGGTGACCAAGAGGCCCAGGGGGCTGCTCAGGAGTCCTTCCCAGGAGCCTGGGGCCACTTCCTCTATGAGGCCTGTGAGGTCAGGGCAGGAACAGGGTGCAGGAGCTGAGAGCAAAGGTTTCCTGCTCTGGGATGGCACATACTTTCAGTCTTGGTCACTTTAGTTTCTCTTTCTGTAAACCGGGCAATTAACATGGCTGTGATCTGCCAGTCACGTGAGAACCAGTTTGTAGGGTGCTTGGTTGAAACTGAGGGCGTGCAGCATGGGGGATGGGAATCTTGAGTATTTAGGTACATGGAGGCCAAGGGCCTGCCAGCACAATATCATCCGGGCATCTTCTTATCACCCCTGGAATTCTAGCTTCCTGCTGTGGGGTAGGCAGCAGATAAAAGTTGGGGGTTCTGAGGAGGTGAAGAAGTCCCAAAGAGTAAAAAGGACAAATGTGGTGAGGGAGACATGAATTTTGGCATAATATGGAGAGAATAGCAAACTGTTCATTGTGGTGGTTTCTCACCTAGACTCTGCCCACCTCTCCAATTCCTGAGACCCTGGAAGGTAGTGTTTGTATAGGTGATGAGTTGTTTACTAATACTTCAAAATACTTATTATAAACGGACTATTAACCTATGAAAAGGCTACAAGTTAAATCCCTTTGCTTTCGTAAAGGGATTTATGTAACAGTTTATGTTTATGTAACAGTGGGACACTCATGTTTTCTTGCTAAAAATGACAATATAATAAAATAATGGGGACATAAATGATTACTTAATAGTTTGGTAGGAGAAAACTCAACTTCCAAACCACCCCAGCCTACTGGGGGACGGAGGCTATTGATGAGGTTCTTAATGGGTAGAGAAGGCAAGAAATCTCCTGCTCAAACCTCTTCATCTTCCTAGGCTCCTTCTAGCTTTGAGGTCCTCCAAAAAAAAAAAAAAAGGATCCTAAATTTCACTTCCCCAATCCCTGTTGTTTTAACTGAGGAAAGCTCTTTTGGGGGCCTCAGTGTGTCCTGGCCTTGAGGGCTCAGGGTTATGTTGAGTTTCTGCAGGTCAGCCATGGGTGGGTGGACAGTGGATCCCACCCACATTGTTACTCCACATTGTGGCTCCATTCCCTGGCCAAGAGACACACTATAATCTTCCTGGTCTGTTCAAAAAAGCACAGTCCACCCCTCACGGGCACAGACACCTGATTCAGCTATAATCTATCAGGTAACTGGTCCCAAGGTTGAAGAGTGACCATGGAGGAGCTGACTCAGTCTGGTCCTGCTGGCCCTGAACATCCCAGCTTCCCAGAAATGGGAAGAGAGGCAGGAACTGAGCTGGCTTAGAGGCCTTACTGCATTTCCGACTTATCTCCAAATTAGTATTAAATTGTTCTGTATATAAAGATGGATGGAGGCACAGCTGGCCCCGCTCAGACCACGGTAGACAACAGCCATTAATTTCGTGCTTTGTGGCATCCCTTCAGAAAACATTTTTATCCTAAGCAAAGAAAGAGTTCTTGCTCACTCTATTCGAAAATCCTGATTTGCTTTTTTTAAAGCACTAAATAAATAGCTAGGTAGACAAATGGTTTTTATTTTCTGTCACTTCTGAGAGAGTGTGTTTGTTCTGAAGACAAGACCCAATTTCTAGGAAGGTACTAAATTGACTAGGATTAGTTTCATGAGAAGCAATTAAAATCGATTTCTCTCCTCCTGGAGCTCCTATTTCATTCATAACAACAAATTAGTTCTCTGTTATTATTACCAGGAATTTAGCTTGGTCACATTCTCAACTAATACAGAATGTCATGGGGGAAGTTAATGAGAACGTGCTTTGTCCTTCTGAGAGAGCCCTGAGGTGACAATGTACCCTACTGCCAGGAAGGAATATTCTGGAAGCTATTTACTCTGCACTGGGATAAAATGGAACTATCTAGATGTCTTGCACCTCTCCCTTGACATAAGTGGATGCCCCTCTGACACTGGGTATCATCCAATGGGCCTGAGCTGCCCAGACCTACTGCAAGATCCCATACAACAGAGGTGGGGAACCTTGGTTCTTGGGGGCAGATTAACCCCATACCTGGAGTTTTCCAGGTCAGCTGAGCATAATCAGCTGGTGGAGAACCTGCTTCATATCAAGCACAGATCAAACAACTATAAAGTAAGAGTAAAGGCCTAACCAGGCTGGTTGGTTATTGCCAGGGCCCACAAACTGCCTTGTTCCTGGTGGCACCAGTAACCACTGAAGAAGTAGGTTGAGCGCCGCCCCTCACCTTTTCCCCTTTGACAAGACACCCTGGGAGTGGAGTTGAGAGTCTGTGGACAAGGGGGCGATGGAGGTCTGGAATGACCCGGGAAGTGAGAACATGGGACAGATGAAGAAAGGAGATGGAAGCGCAGAGGGTGACTGGGAGGGGGTACAGGAGCTCTCAGCCTTCTGCCAACTCTACCCCCACACGGGGATGCTGTTGGTAGGGGCACCAGGGAAGCGCCTCCCACAGTCGCCCATCAGCCTTGGCCCACCAGAGTCCCCTTTAATGTGAGCCTCTTCCCCTCCTTCTTATGCCATTTCATGACAACCTCAGGAGCAGTTCATTTTTTTTCATAGCTCCCCATTCCCTCTCCAGTACCCCTAGATACCAGAAGAGGTCCATCTGCCTTTCTATGTTGTAAGGGAGAGCCTGGCAGTGGGCCTCCAGGATAAGGCGGGCAGCCAGCCCTTGGCAAATGCTCTCTCTCCATGAAGAATTGCAGCCCAGAGAGCAGTGGGCCTCACTGGGGAGGTGCTCATGAGTGCAACAAGACTAGCATCTCTATCAAGTCCAACACAATTCTAGAAGGAAATCCCATCCCTTCCCCAGAACTTGATACATACACTTTGGCTTTCGAAGGGGCCCTGGGTGCACCTCGGCAGTGATGGTTTTAGGGGAGAGCAACGGTTCCTTTGAGCCCCAGTCTTCTTCCCACTGCTTCTTAAACTTCTCTTCCTCTTCCACGATCCTGAAATAAGACCCCCACACCTGTGACTGAAATCAGAACCTTCTCGGTCCCACCTCCGGGCCTGACAGTGAGCCCTGACCAGCATAGGGAGAGGCCTCACGGTCCAGCGGTGCCAGAGGAAAGAAAGCCCTTGGTACTTGTGTTCTCACACACCACCTGGCAATTGTATGCACTATGTTCCAGCTACCCTGCTGTGATGGGATTTGCCGGGGTTAGGGAGTGGCTATAAATCAAAGGCTCCTCCAGAGGGGGAGGACAAGAAGGCTCCGGGGACTGGCTATGGAAGGCCTCTGGCTCACCACACTCCCAGGGCACACCCATACCCACGCAGACATGGAGTCAGGTACTCACTGTTCCATCTCCTTCCGGTATCGCTCATTTTCCTCTGCTGCCTTCTGGGCAATTTCCTTTTTTCTCCTGAAACACAAATGCAGATCGGCAGGTTGGAATCTATGTAAGAAGCCATCCTTATGGCCAATTCCTGATTTGCAAAAGCTTTTCCTGTTCACTCCAGGCCCCCTTCCAAGGATGCCTGGGCCAGATTTGAATGCTGGGTGACGGATCCAACAATGTCTGGTCTCTGTGCTCCTGTGTAGCTTGGTGCGCGACCGCCGAGCAGAGCGTCTACACAGTGGGAGCCGGAAGGCAAATCAGTGTGGGCTGCCTTGACCGCTAAATGCTTAGAAAAAGTGGCTGGTGACAGGTAAGGTCTGGCCAGAGTGAGGTCCTTCTGGAGGACTCCCACATCCAGGCAGCCAGAGCTGCACACCAAAGCCACAGCTATGGGCAGAGGGACCACCAGGAGTAGTTCTCCAGGCTAATTCTGTATTGGAGGAGACGGAAAGATCCTGTCTACCTTCTTTCCCAAGTTATGGCCCTAGACTGAATCTGGATTTTGTTGAATTTTAAATATTTATTTATTTACGCATACAAGAACTGGGGTACAGGCCAGAAGTGCAGGGGGTGAGAAGATTCACCAGAGACAGAGTGGGGAACAGAATAGGCAGATGCACTGAAATACACTGCTGAGGGGAGCAGCAGGTGGGTCAGGAGAGGTCTGCCACACCATGGGGGTCAGCTCTCTGGCCAGGGATTGAACTCGTGCTGCAGTGCCACGGATAGTTTAAAGTGCTGCACCTTAACCTGTTGCACCATCAGGGAGGGCCCTGGACTTGGAGTTTTTTGATGTATGAATGTCTCACCCATCATCCAACCACCTAAATTAGGGTTTCGGGAGGGGGCAGTTATCACCACAGAAGGCCAGCGGACTGGCTGGATGTAAATTTATCCCAGTGTGGCCCCTGTGACTTTGTCCACAAGCGCTTTAGTGTCTCCTCACCTCTAAAATGAATTAATACTGTCTATATCTCTCAGATGGAAATTAAATTAAGTGATATGCACAAAGCCCATGACAGCCACATGGTTGATGTTCAAAAGTGTTTGCCACCACTAATAGGGCCCTCCTTTCCATACTCCTGGAAATCAGGAGTGCTCCTCCCCAGGGGTCTGGAGACAGGGGACGGGTATGCTATCACTGGGTCCATGTGGTCTGAGGACAGGCCTCAGAGGCCGAGGATACGGTGGACCCAAGGAGCAGTGGCAGTAAGCAAGTCAGGTGGGGTCGTGGGTGGTCTGGGAAGCTGGGGAAGGAGGGTCCTGGCTGGCCACTCACTGCCGCTCCATCTCCTGCTGCTCTTGGAGGATCTTGTTGGACTCCATTGCCAGCTGCTTCTGCATGAGAAGCTCCTGCCGCTGCAGCTCATGCTGCCGCACCTCCGCCTGCCGCTCCCGGTCAGTCATGAACAGTTCCCGGCCCTGGGGGCAGAAAAGAGGTCCCGTGCTCAGACCCCTGGGGAATCTGGGTGTCCGCTGCCCTGGTTTTGGGAGCCAAGGTGTAGGCGGTCTTATGGCGACACCCCCAGTGACAGGCACTCTGGTTCCTGCTGTCCCTGACCCCAGCTTTCAGACTGAGGCTGAAGGTCAGGAGTCACAGAGCCCTCCCCAGTTCATTCTGGACTTACAGCTCCAGCTACAACGGAGATGGTTAGGCTGCGGCTGCTCTTCAGCACATTCACGGCCTGTGGGGACAAGTGGACAATCAGTGAGGACTGACAGATGAGCAGTGGAGGGCAGAGAGGATCATGGCCAGCAGGTAAAGATCATCTCACCTCTTTGTGGTCCAGGTTGGAGAAGTCTATGCCATTGACTTCGACAATTTGGTCTCCCGTCTGGTGGAGACATGAAGAGGGATCAGAGTGTTCGCATTATCTGTACACAAGCTCATCTACAGGAATGATCCCTCCTAGGGGCCAGGGTTCAGATGCTGGGTCTTTACTACACCTCAACTCCACCCAGTGAGCAGAACAGTTGGAAAGCTCTGGTTGGGTTCTGGGAGAACCTCAAGCCCACCTCTCCACTCTATATGTCTTTTACTCGCTGCCAAATATTACACCATAAGAGGTTCATTTCTTTTGGTTAAATTTACAACATTTGTTTTAAAAAGTCTGTAGACATGGAAACCTACGGGCTTCTCAGATAGCAGAGGCTGTACTGAGTCATAATAGATAATATTTCTTATCTATCTATCTATTACCTAAACTATCCCTTCACTATGTGCCAGGCATAGCCCTAAGCTTATGCATTAACTCGTTTAATTCACACAATGACTCTAAAAGAATGGCTATTATACCTGTTCTCAGGAGAGAAACTGAAACACAGCAACAGAAAGTAACTTGTCCAAGGCAGAGATTAAGAACTTTGATTTCTGGCATCAGGCCACCTAGGTTTGAATCCCAGTCTTATTATACTAGGTACATAATCTTGGAAAAATCACATACTTCCCCTAGTTCTTGGCTTCCTCGTCTGTAAAATGAAGACAAAGACAGAACCTACTGCTCAGAGTTCTTTCACATTTTAAAGGACAAGGTCTATCCACTAAACAATGATTGTTATTATTACTACATTCCTAACCTCAGGAGCTGGCGAAGGCTACAGAAAGTGTAGCCTCTATGAAGACTTGGGGGTGGGGTAATGTAGGAATTATCAGCCAGTGACTTCCAAGAGAGGGTTGTGTGATCAGTCTGGCCCCACACTTGACTGGGGCCCCAGTGAGACCAGCCCAGGCCACTCACCTCCAGCCCCACTTCTGCAGACAGGGAGCCAGGCTTCACATGGCTGATGAAGATGCCAGGCTTCTGGACAGGGCCACTGGAAATGCTGTGGAAGAGGTGGGAATGTAAAGGAGTCTCTGTCTTGCTGCACCTGCTCATGTCTCAGCGTGTAGTGTGTGACACACAGCCCTCTGCATGGAGCCCACCCGCCAACTCAGTGCCCATGTCCCTCCACTGTCTCGCTCCTTTCCCTGTGGCAATAGCCACAGACCACTATTTGTAATTCCCTCTGACCATCCCCACCTCCAATACATTTACGAATGATATCGCTCCTTTCCCTGTGGCAATAGCCACAGACCACTATTTGTAATTCCCTCTGACCATCCCCACCTCCAATACATTTACGAATGATATTTCTTCTCTCTTTCTAGCACATTCCTACTTATTCCTTTAAACTCAAATGCTGTCTCCTCTACAGGTTTTCATCAAACTCCTCATTCTATCCCAGGACTAAGCAAGTTGCTTGCTTCCCAGTGCTCCGACAGTAAGGATAGCTCTTGTACTGTAGCATTCGCCCCCTCCACCGCCACCTGTGCAGACATTACTAATTGATCACAGCACTTTCCCACCAAGCCTGGCACAGTCTGAGAGTTCTTTTCAAAGTACTTCAAGCAGCCACTAGTAACTGATTAGAGACAGTACAGGATAGGAAACCTATTTGTCATCTCTGACTCTACCTCTCTTGGCATCCTGGAAGATACTGGGGTTCAGAGCAGTGAGGTCCAATCCAAGGTTCTAGAGTTCATCAATGCAGAGCAGGGGCTAAAGCTAGACCTGTAACTGCAGCACCTACATGCTGAGCAAGAGTGCCCTGGGTGGCCCAATGCCTGTTTGTAATTCCTTGGATGCCCCCTAGGGAAGTTCCCAAGGTAGTAGCTGACTAGGGAACTGTGACAGATGGCCAACTGGACAGTTTTATTTTACTGTGACTCAAGGATTCACCAAAAGGACATGACTCTGTTTTGGGGTGGCCTCAATTTCTTAATCTGTAAAGTGGAAACTATTAGAGCTGCCCTGGCCCCATAGGGCTGTTGTGAAGCTCAAAGAGAAAATCAGGCATCAAGAAGTGTCAGCTCAGAAACAGCAGTGAGAAAGTAAAGAGGTTAGAGGCCCACTGGGATCACTAGCTACGAGCGAGCTCCAGGGTGTGCCTGCCACCCACCTGCAGCCAAGGCCCTTCGAGCCCACCAGGCTGACGAAGAACTTCTTCTCCTTGTTCTCCCGACTCCCGGGGAAGCCCAGGCTGTTCCGCCCGCCCTGGAGGAGGGACAGGATAAGAGTTACTGGGTGCCCATGTATATACAAATGGCCTCGGGCCCAGAAGATCTCCAGGGTGAGCATGCTGTTTCCACATGAGCCCAGCTGCCTTTTTATCACTGGGGAGGGTGTCTGCACCAGCAGGGCCTGGAGGTAGACCCACTGCCCATGGAGGTATTCTACATGCCCTGGGGACCTGGATGGAGCCCCTGAAGGCACATTCATAGCAAGTCCTCCAATCAGGACTAGCTGTCCTTTCTTGGAGGCCATCCCATGCAGATCCCATCAGCGGTGGTGCGGATGCTTACCGCAGATTCTGAGACAAACTGATCCACAAACTGCCATTTGAGGGGCTCATCTGGAGAGCTGTGGGGAAGAGAAAGTAAAAGTGGGGCTATTAGGGAGAGATGTTTGGAATAGGCCCCAAAGACAGATCTACTCCTCCTGGGGTCTTTGCCCATGGTCAGGGGCAGCGCTGTTCAGACTGCAGGGCTGTTCCCAGGATGCTGAGCCCACAGGGAGGTCTGCTCACCTCTTCACAGGGATCAGGCCGATGTCTGCAAGAGAAAGGCATGGATATGAGGATGGTCCCCTGCTCTTCTTTCCTTCCCCAGGAGCTGGGTACTCCATTGCCTACCCCACCCCATCACCAGCGACCCCGTCTTCTGGCCTCACTCACGTCTCACTTTGATGGACACAGTCTTCTTGGTACGGATGAGGTTGATGACCTCCTCATGGGTGCAGGAGGAGATGGAATATCCATTGATCCGAACAATCTCATCCCCTACCTTGGCCAGGGACAGAAGGAATGAACATCAGGCAGCTGGACAGACTCACTGCCAGAGACTCTAGGCTTGTTTTCCAGCAAAGGGGTTGATGGCCGTTTTTCCCTTCAGAAAATTATGTCTTCACAATCAACCAACCCTCCACCAACCTGGTGCATCCAAGGACACGTGGCACTTCTGCCCAGTCTTTCTGTCCCAGTCACAGGTAGGGAAATTGAGGTGGGAAAAGGGGCACAGAGTTGAGGCCACAGAGCTGGGACTGCAGCTCAGGATTCTGTACCCAAACTCCAGCCTCCCTTCCATCTCATTGGGACACCGTCAGGTTTTGGAATCCATGGAAAGGGTGACCCTTCACCCTGATTCAAGCAGATTCTTCCTGACTTTTGCCCCACTGCCCCCAGCAGGCAGGCTCCCTGTCTCTGTTAATCACAGCAGCACCATAACTGAGTTGGGGTAGGGCACTTTCATGACTGCTGACTCGAGCTTACATCACCCCCACCCCCCCAGTTCAGCCTTTCCCACAAACTCATCCTTTTAACCATTTAATGGAAGTGTGATGTACATTTTCATCCTGCCATACCCCTGACCGCTGAATGACTATTCTGAGATAAGCAAACACGTACACAGCTTAGTCAAAGCTTTGATTTTATTCTTAATAGCTACATGAACTTGCTGACCTTCAGTTTTTTGTGAACTTGCTGACCCTCAGTTTTTGTGAAATGGGGAAACACAGTGATTGCTATGAGGATTAAGTGAGTGCATGAATATTGAGTTGGCTAGCACCTGGCTTAAAGTAATTCATCAATCAATGACTGCTATCACTATTTGGGCCTGTGCCCTAAATACTCTGGTCGGAGACCTCTTCTCAGGACTTGGGCCTCATTCCATCACTAGACTTGGGCTATGGCAAGAGCTGGGGATTAGCTGGCCGGCCAGCCCTGGATATAAGTCAATGGTGAGATCGCCCCCTGCTGGACACTGCCATGGGCACCTCCAAGCACCTGAAGCTCCTCACTGAGTAAAACGGCTGGGCTGCAAGGACCCACTACAGTACTCCAAACAGAGGCACAGGGTGGTGATGTTCTGTCCAAGGTCATAGACATGTGAGCTGCAAAACAGACGCTGGGTCCGGGATACCCCTCCAGTATGAGACCAGTGAGGGTCAGCTGTGGGCTTAGCTCACACACAGCATGTGTGCTGACCTTTGGTACGTGTGTGGGGGGCTACAATTTGACTGTGTGGGATCTGAGTTGGGGCTAGGGCACACAGCCTCTGAAGGGTCCCTAGGTTGGCTCCTATCCTTTAGAACATGCCATGGAGTCCCTTCTTACTACTGCCGCCTGAATACTTCCCTTCTGCACTGGAACACAGACACTCTTTTCAGGGACTGATAGACTGTCGAGAGGTGCCATGGGGAAGGGTTTGCTAAAAGTTCTCTCGATCTCTGGGGAGAACAGCTAGCCCAGCTGCTTTCACCCGCTTCACAACAATCCTGCATCTCTGTTAATCAGATGAGGAGGCTGAAGTTCAGAGAGGTGAGGTGACTTGTTCAGGGTCACCCTGTAATGCTGGCATTGAAATCAGGTCTCACTAACAGACAAGTGTTGTCTGTTGGGAAAAGGGCACCTGATCACGCCGGCTTCAGTTCCTTGAACCCTGTCCATTCTGGATCCTAGCCACCTGTTTGAGCCCTCGAGTTCCCTCACATTTCTCAGGTTCTCTAGGAAAGGCAGGGACTATTTTGTCCGTTTTGCATCTAGGACCAGCCAAGGCTCAAAGACGCAGTCTCCTGTCCTGGACTATCCAGCAAGCCGGCAGTGCAGGCCGCATTGCGTAGGGCAGAGGATGCAGGTTCAGACTGGACACTTGAAAAAAAAAAAAAACTAAATTATCTCCAGCAGGGGGGATGACCTGAGAAATGGGGTCCCAGAGCTAGTAGGGCCTGGCTGGGGGTGGGGGTCGGTACAAGCCCCACAACCGGGACCCAGTCTCAGAGGCTAAATCAGTAGGACCTTCAGTCCAGTCAGGCTGTTTGCACATGCCCCTTCTCTGCCTTCCAGAATCTTCTCCCAACTACTCTCAAGCACAAGATCTCCCCCAGAAACCCAACCTCAGACAGGTCAATGGACACAGACATTTCCCCAAGCTCCTCTGAGAGGAGTTCCCTGTCTAGCTGCTGAGGAACACGCCGGGGACCCCAGCCGGAATGATTCCCACGCAGTTCCTGGCTCAGGTTGCAGGATCAGCTTTCCTTTCTCTCTGGCTCCTTCATGGAGCCCTGCAAAAGGTCCTTTATGCAAGGGCCACAGTGAAATGGTGATCTGAGGGTCAGAGGCACAAAGGAGAGATGAGCCCATCGGGGCAAGAGAGGGTCAATAATTCATAACCCCATGAAACCGGCAGAAAGGTAAAACTCTTAAGTTTCATTAAAATGCCCTGGTGCTCCCCATCACTGAGGCATTGTTGGGAAATGCTTGTCGGAGGACACAAGCTCACTTTGGAAAAAAAGGCCTCCGTGACGCCAAGAGAGGAGCTCATTATGTTTTTCTCTGGATGCACTTCTGGGCTGGAAAATGTGCCGCACAGGAGAGGAATAATGAAGGGTCTGAAATTTCAGATGCCACCAGCGAGCCGTGAGACAGGGGTTTAGAACAAAGCAATGTCTGTCAGCTCCCAGTTTCCACCTCCCGGCCCATGGTGTCTTGTGCATTACCCTTCAGGCCCCCTGAAGCCTCTGGCTTGGCAGCTTGGATTGGGATGCTGATAACGAATGTGCCGGCGGTGCTGGGAGGGGCGAGGGCTGGGTGGAATGGTAGGAAAGGCCTCTTTTATCTGGACATCAAAAACACAATTCCGGCCTCTAGCAGGAGGGAGACCTGGAGGTCTGCCCATCTCTGCTCAGGCACTGAGGTGTGGGGACCCTAAGAGAGGCACCTGGGGAGCTGAAAGCTGCCTTGAGCTTGTCAGTCAGGGGGCCTGAGTTCAAATCCTGACTCTGTCATTTAGTGGCCGAGAATCTTGGTAAAGTCTCAGAACCTCTGTCATCTCTTTGAAATAGGCCACTTGGGCACAAAAGGAAAACTGGTTGTGGACAGGTTACCTGGCACATTCTAGATGTTTACTAGCTCCCTGTCTGTTTCAACATAGAGCTCTAGTGTGCCAGGCATCATTGTAAGTATTTTATATGAATTCATATATTCTTTGTAGCAACCTGATGAGGAAGGTACTATTATCATTATACCCATTTTCCAGAAGAGGAAACTGAGACATGGGGTTAAGTACCTTCACCAAAGTCACACAGCTGTTGTATAGTAAAACCAGGACACGTAGGCTCTGGAGTCTATGCCCTGAACACCACACTATACTGGGGCTTTTCTTTCCTCTTCCAGTAAAGGCGTCATGTCCAAAGCTTCAGGAGCCAGGACATAACTACGCTGTTCCTATGGTAAGCAGGGGATGTTGGGGGATGTGTAGCAACAGCAGTAGCTGGGAGTGGGAGTTAGTTTCCTATTTGGACTCAGGAAAACAGGCAATTTGGGGCAGTCTGATTTCCAGGGGCCTGAGGAAAATCTTCCAGGATAAATCAATTTTTTCCTTTTCCAAAGGCTCAGAAGGGTGAGTGGCCACACAGCCCACCATCCCAAGAAAGGGTCAATAAATTCTTAAACTTACGAAATAGGTGGGACAGTAAAATTCTGAGTGAGGGAGGAAGGAAGCAGGAAGCCAGAGCCCAGCTGCCTCCCCTACCCTAACCCCTCCCCCACGCCCCCCCCAAACCCCACCTCAGGACCGCAGACCCGGCTTGCTCACCTGGAGCCCAACGCTGTCTGCCTGGCCGCCCTTGATGAGGTGGGAAATGAAGAGCCCACAGCCGAACTCGAGACCACCACGCACGCTGAGGCCGAGGCCTTCGGGGTGCAGACGGTCTAAACGCACCTCCTTCAGCTTTCTGCCATGGTAGAAAAGGTGGGTGATGCACCACCCACTAGCCAGCAGCCCCATCCTTCCCAGGCTGTCCTCTCCCACCCATCTCGAGCCTGGGGCTCCTTCTGCACCTGGAGCGCCGGGGAGTCAGTTGGTCATATTCCACCTGGTGCTTTAGCGGGATCAGGGGCCTGATGGCATCAAAAAGCGGCAGGCGGTTGGGTTCATTGATAACCAACTTCAGGTCTCCCACCAGCACAGCCACATCCATGGTCCTGCAGAGAGGAGGGACACCCATAACCATGATTCCTGTGACCCTAGAACTCCCAGAAGAAGAAGTGCTTATCTGGGTCCTCACTCACTGGGCTGAGGCCAGTGAGGAGGAGATTCTCCTGAAAGGTCCATATTCTAGAACGATGGATCAGGAGCTTTGGAGGAGCTTTGTTCTTTCATATAAATATCGTAAGGAAAGCAGTGAGTTCAGGATTGTTGTTTTTCTTGTTAAAGATTTATTCATCCATGCATACAGAACTGGGGTACAGGCCAGAAGTGCAGGGGCAGTGAAAGGAGTCACCAGAGTCAGAGCAGGGAACAGAATAGGCAGATCGATGAAGTGCACTGCTGAGGGGAGCAGCAGGTGAAGCAGGAGAGTCTCCTGCACCATGTGGTCACTTCCAGGGTGGGGATCAAACTCGCACTGAAGCAGCTACAGCTAGCTTGCAGTGCTGCGTCCCAACCAGTTGCACCACCTAGGAGGGCCTAGGTCGGGATTGTTAATGGGATTGCTAGCCCATTTTGCTGGTAAAATTCAGCAGAATTCAAACTCAGCTTTGTTTAAGTCTGAAGCCCAAGATCTTTCCCGATGAGAAAGCGCCGTGTGAGATGCCAGTGACCAGGCTCACTCCCCTGCCGCCTCCTCACACTTCTGACCTGCGCTTCTCCCAGTTGCTTGCCAAATTGCCCACTCTCATCTTTTCTAAATGTAAATCACCCCATTTCTCAATACACTTCAAAGGCCCCACTTCCCGGAGGACGCAACCCGTTCTCCTGGGCTGACTCAGGGCATCTATGACCCGGGTCCATGGAACTGCTCCAGGTGGGTGCTGTGTACGGCCCCTGTGCACCCCAAGCGCTGCTCCCCAAGCTCACGTCTCACTCATACCACGTGGGTCACGTTTCCACATCTCAGCTGTATTGCTCCCTCATCCTCAAATGGCCTCCCCTGACATTTCCATCTGCCAAATCCTTCTTATGCTTCAAAACCTTAACTCAAGCCTACGTGGTTCTCCCTCTACCATTCAAGTTGAAAACATCTCTCTTTACACTCCTACTTTTGTGTCTACTTATTCTGCAGTAACTTGGAGTTTGCTGTATTTGCAGTGTCTGTCCATCTGTCTGGCCATCGCCCATGAAGCGGCCTTGAGTTAGTAGAGGAAAGGAAGTCTATCTTGTGCATTTTTAGATTCCCCAGGAGACAGACAAGAGTTCATAAATGGCACTGAATGAATCACAGGCAGGTGGGTGCTAAGACCCTGACGCTAGAGCTGGGCAGGTGGCGTTCCCTGTCCAGTCCCAGGCATCCCATTTTCTTGAGCCTCTCTAGCCACTTGAAGCCTCCCCATGGGGCTGTGTCCGACCTAAGGGCATCCAAAAGTCTGTCGTGCTCACATGTACCTCTGTCCCTAGCACAGAGTATTTGCATAAATACCTGCTGAGACAAATAAATGGCGTGTCCATTTGATTCCAGAAGCCCTGAGCACCCCCGATGGAGGAGAAGGGCCTCCTGTCTCAGAAAATCCACCCCCAGGCTCCTTGAAAACAGAGGGGTAGTCTTCAGGAGCTGGACCAGCACACTTACTGGTGGTACATGCGCAGCACGTCGTAGAGATAGTCCTTCTCGGCGTCATTTTCAATCAGAAAATCCACCTGGAAAACCCAAGGGCAGAGTTACAGCTCCAGGCCCAGCACCCCATAGCAGACCCCTACGGGGACCTCAGCATCTCCTCGGGTGCAGGGTGGTGAGGGAGCGGGGAAGGCAGAGGCCAGACTGGTGCTGTGGCTGCAGGATACCTCTGCTCACCCAGAGGCGGCCAGGCTGATCCTCGTCCCAAGGTGCTGATCAATGTACACAAGGGTGTACCCACACATGCATACGTGAATTCCAACGGACAGCGATGTACCCCCACGGCAGCTATGCTGCCGCTCACCCTGTGGCTGTGACCCGTGCCAGGGAAGCAAGGCCAGTGTCAGTTCCCTGGTCTGGAAGAAACCCTTCATCTTACCTGATGGTGGCTGTAGTGCTGGATGAATGATTTCAGAAAGGATTTGGGCCACTCACTCAAATAGCACATCCTACCCGCCGGAAGTGCCTCACCACCAAGTTCTGTGCCTCCAGTGCCAGGGGCAAGTCTACTCACCCTGTAGTGGACCAAGCTGGGTTGGCTAGTCAGCCTCCTGGCCACTCCTTCCTTTCCCTATGTCCCTACACCCACCTCACGCCCCCCCCCCACCACCACCACCCAGGGGAAGAGTCAGGTTACATCATTTAGACTCTATTGACGTCAGTGGCTGGAACTTCAAGGTCAGGGTCAGGAACTGTTTGATTAGCATCTCAATCCCATTTGGAATTGGTGTGCCAAATTTTACTCCCTGGAACAGCTCAGTGTGAATCTTTATGTGTTGTATACTGGCTCTATTTAGCACAAGACTATGTAAGGTAGAACTTGGAGATTCAATGGGTTCTTGGGCCCCTTCTTACTCCAGCCTCTAGGTCCAACAGCTTGTTCTAGGACGCCTCTCCTCCCCGCCTCCAGAACAAGAAGCTGCTACTAGAAGCTGCAAGCCTCCTGGCCTCATTCCGTGGATATCTCAAGAGTTCTGGAAGGTTGGGAGGTGGGAGTGGGAAGAGCAGGACAGTTTGTCCAAACACAGAGAGAACATGTTGGGGGCAGCCCTTGGATTTATGGCCTGAGCATCAGGTAAAGAATACATATTTCCAATCTCTTCCTGGCCTTATATCCATCCCTCTAAAATCAGACATTTTATGGAGGTGAGGGAAGATACTAACTCATGGCTTGGACCTCAGCTGCTAGAATGTTCACCCACCAGCTCTAATGACACTCTCACTTTCTCCTACATCACTGTTCCTCTTTTCCAGTCTAGTCTACCTCCAGAAGTTGGGGGACAGAAGCACCTGCTTGATCCTCCCAGGCTCCTGAGACAGCTGCAAAGTTCAGGGTAGCCTGAAACACACCGCTGTCACAGGCTGGGCCAGTCAAATCCTGATCTCCAGTTCTGACAGTATCTACTTCTCTATGGTCATCTCCACCCTTTCCTATGTGGCACCCTGGCTGCAGCCTAACAAATCTTTTCCCCGACACACTGGAACCTCCCCATCCTCACTCGGAATGCCCTGTCTATCTCCACACCAACTTGTCCATTTAAAAGAATTATCTGTGGACCCTCCCTGGTGGTGCAGCGGGTTAAAGCACAGCACTAAGAAACTAAAGCCACTTCAGCATGAGTTCGATCCCCCGCCTGGAGGTCACCCACATGGTGTAGCATGTTCCCCTCAGCAGTGTACTTCATCAATCTGCCTGTTCTGCTCCCCACTCTGTCTCTGGTGAATCCTCTCACTGCCCCTGTACCTCTGGCCTGTACCCCAGTTCTGTATGTATAAATAAATCAATCTTAAAAAAATATGTATCTGTATACCACCACTGCTGGGGAAACATGCCAGATTTGTGTGGAATGCTTTTTTAAATTTGAATCTAAAGCATAAATCAAATCGGAGGTGGTGTGGTCACCTTCACCATCCCCCACCCTGAAAGGTCTGCAGGGTAACTGAGGGATGATAGCACTGCTGTTCTTTGGCAATCCCCAGGGAAAACACACACACACACACACACACACACACACACACACACACTGATTGCAGCATACACTATACACTCACTCACTCTTTGGGATTTAAATGACACTTAAAAAGACAAGACATCGAGAAAGCTCCATCTGAGAAAAGAGCCTGCAAGTGCAATAGCATCAAATTCCACTTTAAAACCTTTGAAAAAGTTAGAGGTGTCTGCTCCTGGAATCTGGATTTGAGCAAACTCCTAGGAGGGCCTGACTGCCCAAGGGTCAGCTTTGGGGACCCCCGGCTCTAGGGCACTTTCTTCCATTCTCCTGAAACCTTGTGCTCAGGCAGGCGCACCGTAGTTCTTCAACAGCACTATACCAGGCAGATTGCATGGTGGTGGCTGCTACATGACAGATGAAATCCACGTATTCCAGCTGAGAGCCTTTGCTCCAGCCTCTTGCTCAGTCCTGCCTGGGTCACCTCCCGCCTTCCACCCTCCACCTCTTCCCCATTGCTCCTCATGACACACCTGCCCCAGCCTCCTATCTGTCTCCAATCAACTCACTCCAGTTAGTCACCAGAGTAGGTACCAGATCCATGCAGGCCAGACTGCCCACTCCCCTCCCTGCTGTGCTCTGCCTTCATCTGAGGGGACTCTCAGTCTTTTTTTCTAAAATCTCTCTGACCAGCTCAGAGCCTCCTTATCCACATCCCAGCCTGTGACCCTTCTTGCCCGGCGATTGCGGTCAGACCAGAACGTCACATGTGTTACCTTTGACAGCTCTCACAGGTGGGGATACCATGATGCCCACTAGACAGATGAGGAAACAGAGGTTCGGAGATGGGGCTTCCAAACCCCTGCTTTTTATCAAAATGCTCTATGGTCTCCACTTACCACGTCTTGCTTTTTGTCTGCACTTGTCTAATACACATTTATTGAACCCCTACTTGGTGCAAGACAGTGTCTTCTTCTCCAGCTAGATTTAGAAAGTAGCTCCTTTTCTGGGATTCCTCTTGGTGATGAGCACAGAAACTGATGTGGTGGGCAGGGGTCTAGGTGAGCTTGGTGTGGCTCATCAGAAATCCAAAGGAGCCTGCCATCTACAAATAACTAATTGGTGGGGGCGGACCTCTTTATCATGACAATTCCCCCCAGCCCCATACACCTTTTTTTCTGGGCCCTCTGTCCAATATCTGATTCTCTGGCTGAGGCTTAACTAGCGCTGCACTGTTGGCCTGTATGGAAGATGGGGGGACAGGAGGGGCTCCTCTAACCTCACAGGGTCAGGCCCTTTGTCTGGACACGAAGGGAAATTCTGGGATCAACCTTTGGGACCTGCCCAGCCTCATATCCCTACCTCCCTCCACATGGACTGGCCTTCCAGGGCGGCTGCCCAGGGGAGGAACACACAACCTTTAACTCATGCAAATTCAACCCCAGGCTGCATGCACCCAGCTAAAGAAGGAGAAGGGAAGCTGAAAGGTTCCGCACAGTCAGGGGGACAAAAAGAGTCAGGGAGGTAAAACCAAAAGTAAAACCAAAAGTAGGTTTAATTCTGCACTCTGGTGAGGTTCACTGACTCCAGAGAGAGTTGAGGTCAGAGAAGTCGCACTGAGGGAGGGGGAAGAAGGGTTTTTAGAAGCTTAGGTTGGGGGAGAAACGACCAGGTGGAAAATTTTGAGAAGAAACTGGAACTTTATTTTTCTGCCAGCTTGCGTTAACCCGTGTGACAAACGCGTGTGAGGTTATCACTCCCGAATATCTGCTTCTGCTTGGGGCAACTGCACCTTCCATGTGCCTGTGTCTGGCTGGCTCCTGACCCTTACAAAAGCAATAACAAATACATGTTGTTCCCCTCCCTCACATGTGTCCTCCTAGGCCTGTGGTGGGGATTAAATGAGTGACTATATGTAAAGAATTTAAGGCTACCGCCAGGGCTCCAAATTGTGAAGGACCCCCAAATGTGGAGCTTTCTCATTTTGCCCCCAGGCCCACTCTCCAGCCTTCTCTGATCTGCCCCATGTACCAGTAAGCCTTGCTGGGCTCAAGCCTTCTCTGTCCTGCCCCATGTACCAGTAAGCCTTGCTGGGCTCCCGACCCTCTGCTTCCAGTTGAGTTCAGTCAGCAGGAGGTGAGAGGCCTTGAGGCAAAAGGGAGTGGGGTGCTGATTCCGAGCTTCCTCCGTGCTGGATCTGGGCTTTTCAGTAGTGCCTCCAGTTCAGTAGTGCCCTACCCCCACCCCAAATCCTTTAGGAACAATGCTTCCTGCCCTGCTCCTCCTTGGGTTCCCTCCCTAAGCCAGTTCTGTCACTCTCCCGGCAGATGGTGGCACTTGTTCCCCCCTCTGAATGGAGCTCCCCAAGCTGTTCTGTGCTTTCTTTATCAGCTGTGACTCCAACACTTGGGGAGAGCAGAGGGGGAGGCCAGCAAGCCCCCTCTCCATGTGGGTCTGTGTCCTCATCTGAAAGGGGTGGGGGTAGTAAAATCTATTTCATAGGACTTTAATCTTCAGTGAAAAGTTAATAATTTTTTAAACTTAGTTATGGAGTTAATAATGGCTAATTGCTTGGAACTGTGCCTAGCAAGTAGTATATTCTTTTTTAAAAAAGAGTTTACTTATTTATGCATACAGAACTGGGGTACAAGCCAGAGGAACAGGAGCAGAGAGAGGATTCACCAGAGACAGTGGGGAGCAGGACAGGCAGATCGACAAAGTACACTGCTGAGGGGAGCGGCAGGCAGGACGGGAGAGGTCTGCTGACCAAGTGGATCACCTCCAGGGGGAGGGCTGCAAGTAGTATAGTCTAAGTGTTTGTTAAATAAAACTAAGTAAGAATAATTGAATATAAATTCTATATTCTCAGCAGTTTGCAGAAAGTGGTCCCTCTATTAACATGGCTGGATGAATGGATCCAGCCACGCACTTCCCCAGGCCACGCCTCATCTTGTCAGCCCCTATCTGGGCTACTGCAGGAACATCCTAGCTGTGGTCACCTTCTGCTCCTGGCCCTCACAGTCACAGCAATCCCCTTTAAATGTAAATGAATCATGCCACTCCTCAGCTGGCTTCTCATCACACTCAGGACTAAACCCAAGAACTGGACATGGCTACAGGTTCCCCTCTGATCCAGCTCCCACTGCATTCTGTTTCATAATTCCTCTCAGAACCACCATCTTATTCTTGCTTTTCTTGAGGACAAGTAGGTGCCTGCCTCAGGGCCTTTGTACTTGCTGTTCCCTCTCTTGGAATGTTCTTCCACATATATCCCCGGTTTTCCTTCCTGCAGTTCTTCCAGACCTCTACTCAAAATGCTCCTCAGAGAGACCTTGCTACCCTAGAGACTACCATCTTGTTACCCTCTAACCCCCTCCCCACTCCAGTTTATTTTTATTTTTTATAGCGTTTATTACTACCTGGCATTAAATGATATGTCTGTTGTCTTACTTGTTATGTCTTCCCCACTAGAATGTGTCTTTAAAAGGGCAGGGACTTTGACATGTCATTCAATGACTGCTGGCATATATTAGGAGCTCAGTCAGTATTTATTGCATGAATGAATGACTAGCAAATCCCTAGAAGGCAAGGGCTCTTTCTGACCTTATTTATTTTACTCCACCCAGATGTCTGTCTTTTGGCAGGATACACTATAGATACCTCTAACTGCAAGATTACTGAACAAGCAATAAATACTTTTTGAGCAAATGAGTAACCAAGTTCCTGTAATATGTAGGTATAGTAAGTAGGAGGGAGGCTTCTTTTGAAAAGTTGGCTCTCTGGGGGAGATGCCTTGGTCTCTGATGTCTCCCTTTTACCCCCTTGGGAATCCTAGCCCAAGACTGTGACCAGGAGAAGCACAGTCTGGTGGCCTTGAGTAACTGGACAAGCCCAGAGGAATAGACTCCTGGTGAGAACTGTGTTACTATGGTGTGGCGAATTCCTGTTTAATGCTAACTTGTCCATAAGGAAAGCAACTACGAATCTCACCTAATAGTTGAGAAAACCAAAGCTTGGAGAGATTAAGTGATTGTCCAAGGACCCAGTGGCAGTGAGTGACAGGGTTGAGGTTTGACCTGAGTTCTAGTTCACATACTAGTTAAACAGTACTGTCTAACTTTAGATAACAAACAACAATAGGCATCAACCCATGAATACTTACTAAATATATGTAGCTTTCATCCAACAATATACATATTAGTTAAATAATACTGTCATCCTCATTTAACAAATTAGAAAACCAAGGCACAGAGAGGTGAATAACTTATTCAACGGTCACATAGCACTTTTTATAACAACGTACTACCGTTAGTCCCTCCTCCAACAACTCATTTTTAGGCAGTAAATTTATTCTGAAGCACTAAAGAAGGAACTTCTAGAGAATAGCCAACAACTGGGTGTAAATTTCACCCAGTATGCTGGTGTGTCCCCTTCTCTAGTCTCTGCTGTTTTATCCTTTGTTCTCGGATGACCTCCAACCTGGGAAGGAAAGGCTGCTGCCGCCTTGGAAACAGCAGGGCACAAAGTCCAATCCAGGCACCTGCCCCACCTGTATGCACCGGAGCATTAATAGGTAATGACTCTTGTGATGTGAAAGAGCAGGGCAGTGGGAACACAGAAGCCTGAGGCCCTTTGCTGTCTGTGGGGCCTGCAGAAGGGGAAAGGGGCTAATTCAGGGGCCCATTGTGATACCAGGGACCCCAGAAATAATTTCTTTAAAGAGGAAGAAGTAGTACCCTAGAGAGAGAAAAAATAGGACCTGGCCTTACTTTCAACTCAGGGACAGGAAAATGAAATTCAAGCCCAAGTTCTGTGGTGGGGGCCGGGGTGTTGTGCTTCTTCAAAGTGAGTTGTCTGAAATCTACACTCACCAAATGTCCTCTGAGGCTAAAATTTCTCCCCTCATGTTCCTTTGCAACAGGATGCGCTGGTGAACATGTCTCATGCTCCCCTTGCTACTCACTAACCCCAACCAAACTCCTGCTGTACTTGAAGCCACCTGTCACCCTGGGATGGCGAAGGCCCCATTCTGGGCGGGAGGCGTTAGTCCATGCATTTGCCTCCTGTGGGTCACCACCAAATCTTTATCCCCAACACTCAGCCCCCAGGATGGGCAACTCTTAGTATTGGGATGGCCTTCCACAAAACTAGCAATTTGAGGCACTGACAGGGTCCAGCCTAGAGTGGGTATTCAAAACATGTTTACTTAATGAATGACTGACTCCAGGCTTCTGGCCAAGCCCCTGGCCTTTATCCCCTGTGGCTTTCACACTGGCTGATTCTGCCTTCCCTGGGCCTCTGGGTGGGGAAAGAGCTGTTAGTACTCTGACCTTGTCAGATAGTGAGCATCGTCCCCTCAGGCACTGGAAGGGGTTCCCCATCACCAACACCACCATGGGAGGGCTTCAGAGTATGTAGTCACTGAGGCAGGGCCTGTGGGTAGCCCCAAGACGCCCCACCCACCCACCTTTGGGCTCTGAGGCATGGGGAGGTCCACACCAGATCCCCTTGAAAGGTCTTCTCTGTCTCAGGGCCTCAGTGGCACCTGTACAGATTTGGAAACACTTATGGAAATGCCCTGGGTGGAATCCCCAGTGTTCTAGGGTGGTTTTGGAGGGTCTGGAACCACCCATGAGGCCCCTCTCTGGGACCCACCAGTACAGATGAGCTCTGCTGGGAGGATCTGGCTGCCTGCCCCTCCTCCCTTCTTCCCACTGACCACTGGTTAAACAGTTGCATCTCAGACCCTAATAAATACTCTAAGCAGGAAGGACTCATCCTGAAGTGTTTCTAACTTATATTTTTAAGACAAGGGACACACATACACACAGAAGTCCAGCTCCCCTTCCTGCCAACGCTCACCTCTGGGTATTAGCCCTCCACCTTCACATGTTCCAACAACCCTGAGAAACGAAGCACTGTGAAGTGGGGCACAGGAGCATTTGCCATTATGGGGCATCTCAGAGAAAGTCCCTGTTTCAGGCTGGAAAGAATTCCAAGCCCTGAGAAGTTCCAGCCCCTAGAAGGCTGAAGGAGAAAGGACACTTTTAGGATCAGTTAGGTGGTCCCCACACCTGGACCAGTCCCGGCGACCTCTCCTCATTTTATTGGGGATCCCTGCTGGCCACCAAAGACCCAAGATCTTCCCAGCCTCAGCCCACAGCTGTCTGGCCAACTGAAAAAGGAAGTGGGTGGCCCCAGGGTTGTCTATATACCAGGGCTCTCTGCCCGGGGATTCTGAGGCCCGGGGTGCAGAGGGGCCCCTAGAGGGTCTGACCTTATGCCGGAATTCTCGGGCCACCTTCCTGTCCATGGCTGGGCCAGACAGAGTTCACGCCGCTGCACTTCTTGCGCTTGGGGTGCCGGTTATCCAGGGCTGGCAGGCGCCGCGACCTCAACCCGCCCGGGTGCGCTGGGGGCGGGGCCTGGCGCAGGTGGGGCGGGGCCTTCCGAGGCGGCCGACTGCAGGCCCTGAACATCCCGTCCGTCACTGACTGACGCCGGTAGACTGGAGTGTGGTTGTGAGGGGTGTGGCTGAGGCCAGCGCTCCTCTTGGCATGACCCCCCTCCACCCGCACCACTCACGGTTGAGGGAATGGCTCTCAGAAGGCGTGAGGAGTTTGGAGCATTTTTGTAGGACCTGGAATATAGAGGATCTGAGACTCTCTAGTGGGAGAATTTACTCAGTTTTCTCTAGATAAGAAAATAGAATCCCATGGCACACAGGTGACTTGGTGATGGGAAACCCGCGGGGACTACAATTGAGATGGAAAAAAAAAAATGTACAAAATGATGTAAAAATAAACTGTTGTAAAAAAAAAAATAGAATCCCGTTCACTCTCCCGAGGCTGTCTGCCATCCCTGCCATGCACCTCAGTGTACATTCCATAATGTCCTTCTCATGGGCTTTTCCACCAGGAAGAAATCTTTGATCTGTGAATTCCTTGACTGGGTCTAGTGTGGCTTATGGGCCTGAATTAGTGGGTGGGTGTGCCCCTTCGCAATCGACTTCCCAGTCCATTTTACACACACACACACACACACACACACACACACTGATTGCAGCATGGAGCGATTGGCAACATGACATCCTGATTTAAAACTGACCTTTACCCAAGAACCAGGGTCCTTGTTTTTCATTTGATTCAATCTATGTATTCTCAGCTCTCTAGTCTAGTGTTGGGGTACAAAAATAGTAAGGAACCTGGGATAGACTGAGTGAAAGAGGAGGGTCAGAAATGAAATAGATGTTAATGGAGAGAGTGAGAATCAATAATTATGAAGCTTGTGCCTTGGATCTAACCCAGGGTGGGGGCCTAACCTGTGTGCACCATGTCAGGAGACAGGTAAGTACATAGCAGCCCAAATCAATGAACCACCTACAATTGTAACTTCAGGAGTACCTAAAGCCCCCCAGCATTTTCCCAGTTTAAGATTTAGTTCCCTGCTGAAGAACTACCTTGAAATATTGTCCTTATTCTTATGTTAGCATAGTTGATTAGTCAGCTATAAAAGGTAAAGTCTTTTTTTTTTCAAAAGTCAAAGACACACAAAATATATCCCTCTCCATATGACTTCCTTGATCATCCATTGGTACATAACTGAAATATGTCCTACAGTTGTTTATTTTATATTTAGAGTCCACTTAACATGACAGAAGTCCTCTTAGGGGGAATGTATTCCACGAGCATCCTAATCCTTCTTACACATGGCCAGTACCCTCAGAGACTTCTGTGGGAAATCTTAAAGTGCTTAAAATGTGTCCCTCCTGGTTTTGAGGACAACATCGAGTCCCGGTTCTCCATTCTATAAATATTCCTTTTCAATCTTTCTATGAGACAATACTGTCTTCCCCATTTCTTGACTAGTACTTTAAGACTCCATCCTTGGCTCTCACCTCATCTTCTGTGTATGCCCATGCATTCATCCTGTGTGGGGTAACTGTGGATGCCTTACTTACCAGTAGATTCCTGAAACAAAGTGTGGGGGAGAATAGGTACTCTGCAATTTTGTGGACGGATGGATGGATGGGTGAATGAAGGAATGAGTGAATGAATGAATGACCCCACAACAATTTTGTTGATAGATGAATGAATGAATGAGTGAATCAATGAATGAATCCATGACAATTTTGTTGATAGATGAATGAATGAATGATCCCCATACCCAGGAGTCTATTGGAGCCCACATCACCACCACCATCATCTGCAAGATCTGGTATCTAGTGGGTGTTACAACACTTAGTTGGTCAAGTAAATGAGGTTTCCAAAGCTCTCAGATCCACATTTCCACCATCAAATTTTTTCCTGGACAGAGAATGTACCTTATGTACAAAGCATACTTTTTTTTTGTCAAAAAAATTTTTTTTGTCAAAATTGACATTGGTGTGAGCAGTAATATGGTAGAGTGAAGAACATCAGTCATTCAGTCAACATTTCCTGAGCTGGGGACTGAGCCAGGCTGGATATAGAGAGGACTAAGGTATGATCCATTCCCTAGAGGTGTTCAAAACTGTGGCTAGGGTGGGAACTTGGGTGTCCAAGTGGAGGCAGTAGTGAGCAGTGATGGGAGCATAAACCAGAGCTCTGAAGTTCTGAGCCCTACTGTTGTTTGACTCCTGGCATGTCACAGGAACTGGGTGAAAGGAGATGGAAAGACTGGACTCACACCAGCATCTGGGGTCTCTGGTATGAAGGGCTTCCAGGACCTTTTTGCCTCCAGGGAATTCTGAGGTGTATATATATAACCTTACATATATATATATGTAAGGTTATGTGTGCACGTGTGTGTGTGTAGACATACATACACACATTTTAGAGCTGTATCGATAGATAGATAGATAGATAGATAGATAGATAGATAGATAGATAGATAGATAGATAGATAGATAGATGGAT